GGCCGCGCGCACCGTGCCGCCCGCGAACCACGGCCGGCGCAGCCGACAGAGCGCGTCGCGGCGCGCCACCAGGCAGCCGACGCCGGTCGGGTGCCAAAGAGCTTGTACCAGCTGACCATGACAAACTCGGGCCTGAGCGCGGCGAGGTCGAGCCGCGCCGTGGGCAGGTACGCCGCGGCGTCCAGGAGCACGTCATACCCGTGCGCCTGCGCGAGGCGCACCCACGAGAGCGGGTGGCGGACGCCGGTAAAGTTGCTCTGGGCCGGATACGCGAACAGACCCCGGCGGCGGCTCGCGTCGGCGTTCCCCTTGGAGAGCCAGGCGCGGGGAGAGCAGCGGGTTTTGCGGGACAGCGCCGCCACGACATCCGCGTCCCGGGTGCGCAGCTCGTGCGCGTCGGCGATGGGGACGTACACTGTGCGCGACTTGCCGCGCCGGGCAAGCTCCCGCAGGCCGTTGAGCGAGTTGTGGTTGTCCGCCGTCAGGACCAGGCGGGCGCCGCGACGCCACGGGTACGATTCGCCGACCAGCCGTGCCGCGCCCGTCGCGTTTGGCGTGAAGATGACCGTGTACTCGTCTGGGGAGGCGGAAAAGTAGCGCAGGATTCTTGCCCTGGCCTCGTCGACCAAATCTGTGGCCGCCCGGCTTGTCGGGTTGCTCGAGTGCGGGTTCCCAAACGCCGCGTGTCGCATCCGCTCGCGGTGTGCTTGGTGCTGCGACTGAGCAGCCAGGCCGGCACCGGTGTAGTCAAGATACACGTGGCCGTTCTCGTCGAGGAAGGAATATTCCGTGGCCCGCAGGTCGTCGAGAATCGACGTCGACGCATACTCAGGATATCGCTCGAGAAGCGCCTTGGCTGGCAGACTTTGGTCTGTCAAGAAGTCTTGCTTCTCCATCACTCTTGCAATTGGAAACCGTACAGCCAAGGATGTAAGTAAGATTGAGCGTATCCTGCTTCCACTGTAGAGAAATGGCAAAGTGATGTCAAACACATGGAGCACCACTGGCAAGCACAAGTGTGTAGTGGTCAAAGGAAGCTGCGTGCAGGACGGCTTCAATCGTAAATCTACAGCATGTCATATTCCCCTTGCTGTCCTTTTATTCGGGCGGGAAAATATCAACACCCGGTATCTGGCCACGGACGTAAGCGTTGAGAGTCAAGGTGGCAACCTGCAGTGTATTGTGGCTTGCAGGCTGACAGACGCTCCGGAGCCTTGGCAGATTCTTCTCACCCATGCCCTGCTGATAATCTCTAATAACTCTGTGATACTGCGGACACTTGCCTATCAGGGAAGAGCGAAGAGGAAAGCCATATCAATACAGGGAGGGACCGTAGCGGACGAATTGCTCCACGGCGGGAGAGGTGAACAGAGACAACGCATTGAGATGAAACATGAATCAGATATTAATCCTATGTCTATCACCCAGCTGGTTTTCAGCTGACACCAATATTGCAAGAGTGGAGCAGGAGGGGATATTTGAGTACTGGAATGGTTTCATTCCCATCATTTTGATTCATCTGAAAAGTAAATTTTTAAGCTACCGAAAATGGACGTTAAACCCCACACTCAAGCGGCCATAACCCAAAGAGGTATTCGCCGCCCAAAGTGTGAGGGGCTCCCGTTCTTCTTTCACACCAAGAAGACTGAGAAAAGATTGTAGCAGACGCAAGCGACCAAAGACGAACACAGTCCAAGCAAACCGCATGCAATACATTCCCCAAGAAGCCCTGGCGAAGAAAGAACCCTGTGCGGCGCACAGAGGGCGGAGATGGAACGAATTCGGTCGACAATTGTGAACTGCCGGTTGGGTGGTTGCGCGGATGCGCACCAACCTTTACCTGTAGCGCCAGAGGGACAGAGTGTTGTGGCGCTTCCAGGTCTTTCTGCGGCCGGCGCGGGTCTTGTTGTAGCGATGACCCTTGTTGAGGCCGCGGGAGGCCTTGCCGGTGGCGGTGAGGCCGCGCGCCTCGCGGTGCTTGTGGACGGGGGCGACGATCCAGTTGATGCGGGGATCGATGCGGATGGCCTTGTGCTGGGGGTCGACCAGGATGACCTCGTAGTACTTGTAGGTCGAGTCCTGGTTCACCCAGTACGAGTTGAGAACGCGCAAGTTGGCGCAGCGGCGGCCGACACGCTCCTCAGCGGTGGCCTTGAGGGAGCGCTGGTACTTGAGCTGGTTGACACCCATGTTGGTGGGCTTGCCTGTAGAGAATACCAATTAGAACACGCGAGTCTCTTCTTGTGAGGAGAAATCTTCTTACCGAAAGTGGCACCCTTGGCGACGGGCTTCTTGCGGCCACCACGGCGGACGCGGACGCGGTACACGACGTAACCCTGCTTGGCCTTGTAGCCGAGACGGCGGGCCTTGTCGGGGCGCGAAGGGCGCGAGGCGCGGTGGATAACGTTCAACTGACGGAGCTATATTGATGCAGTCTCAGCAAAATGTTCAACGACTGTATAGCAAAAGCGACTTGACGACGGGTATGGATTGGTCGAGCATGGAGCGAGTGAGAAAAGGTCGGGACATGCAATCCAGAGAACTGGATAGCTAGTCCGTATCCCGTTTCGTCGTCCAAGCAGGAGGTTTCCAGCCCATATCCGTCGACAGAGGATCGCCCACAACAGCGACAAGGCAAAAAACAAGACGGGATGTTGGAATCGAGGCGGTGGTGTAGAAAACGACAAGGTTGTTGGTAGGGTTCAACGTACTTCCCAGCAGCGAACGCGGAGAAGGAAGCGCATCACATCGGACTGCTTCTTCTTCTGAAGTTCCTCGACATACTTGAGGGCACCCATTTTTGCTATATCCCAAACGTTAGCTCAAGTCGTTTGGCGAGACGGCGCGGAACCTCAATCGAAGAGTTCTCTCGTCGGACAAAAAAGAATTGATTGTGATATCGAGTGCGAGTTTGAGACGATTGAGGCGCGCTGCAGTAAATTAGAAGAGACTTACCGGCTTATGTGGTGATATATTCCTGCCGGTTAGTAGAGAGCGATAACGAAGGAAAGATTTCGAATTGGCCGCCCACTGGTCTGACGGGAAAAGTGCAACTCGAAAATTTGCGTGTTGTGTGGGCTAAGCGACACGCTAAGCTGGTTTGAGCGCTAGCCCCCTGGTACTTTGCCCCGCCTTGCCCTTGCACTTGGCCCTCAACCCTTCGAAGTGGCCTGCTGAATCAGCCAGTATGAGTGGATCAGGGTAGGTGGAGCGAGCCTTGCATAAAAGAGCAACTGCTCTTGTGCCAATCTAGATTGAATAAAAAAACGGTGGAGCCAGTAAAGTGTATTTTATGCATTACTTGATTGAGCAAACTGCAAACGTGCAGACTCCACGAATCCCCAAGCAAATACCTAGACTCCTTGCACAGCTAGCCATCACCAAAACCTAATATTGCGTATTTCCCGTCATGTGACCCCGTCACCCCAATTAAAACGTATCCTTCAACATGCGTCCGTAAACATCGAGGAGCTGCGCTGCAGCCGCCCCCCATGTCGCCGCGCCGCCCTTGGGAACCGCCTCGTCCAGAATCTCCATGGCAATCTGCGCCAACTCCTCATCCTCGGCGGTAGCGCCCGCCTGCTGATGCTGCTCCTCCTGCGGCGCAACCAGTTCCGGCCAACCAGTCGGCGCCAAGTGCCCTTCTGCAATCTGCTGGGCGAGCTTCCTGGCCTTGCTGTTGAGCGCCGTGAGGTCGACAACGTCTTGCTTCCAGCGCATCCACCGTGGCTCTGCAAGGCTGGGTACCTGGCCGGTGGCAGTAGTGTCGTAGCGGGCGTGTGCGATGGACTGGAAGCGTTGCAGGGCGCGCTTAGCCTCGTCAAAGGCCGGGCAGCCTGCGAGGGGGTCGTGTGAGTGCAGTGCGCACGCGCTGGCAAGCGAGTCGGCGAGGGTCCCGTCTGTCCGGCCGCTGCGGCTGTCGCTGCAGTAATTGTCAGCAGGTTTGTGCGGGTAGTTGGTATTATGGACTCCCAAACGTACGCGAATTTGCGACGCTCGCCTTCAATCGCAAGAAGCACCTCGTCGCCCTTGGCCCGAATCTGGTCAATGGCATCGATCGCTCCTTTGCGGCCCTGCTTGGTCGACTTTACGGCACCCCGTGAGCTCCAATTTGAGTTAGAAAGGCTCAGGACATGAGAAATATATGCCGTGATGATGAACACTTACCCATTTTTGCCCACGTCTCTGGTAGTGGTAGCTCGTGTAGCCTTCTTTGTCGTATTAGGCCGTTTGGAGTTGTTCGGTTCATCCGAGTTTACCGAATCTGCTGGGCCTATAATTAATTACATGTTGCACACCATCAATGTACAAGCGGGTTGCAGGCATGTCTTAGGCAGTAAATGGAGGCTTACTGGCCGTTGCTCGACCTCGTTTGCGTGAGCCCGTTTGCGCCATGCTGTGCTGCCAAGCGCAGACTGGACGATCTTGCCGGCGTGCGAATTACAACTCTCGGATTCTGAGTTGATCGAAGTAGCGGACTATGGTACGTCCTCGAAGCCAGCGTTTGTAGCTAGACAATCTGCTTGGAATTGGTAGAAGATATGTAGACGGGCCGATAGTCATCAATTCCTGCGATAATACTGGCCACACGTGATGCATGCAAAGCGGGAAGTTGACTAGACATTTATCACCGCGTAAGAAATGAGAAAATGAAATCAATTTCAGCACCAGTATTCGATATACACAACCGGTTTCAGACGGGTCAAACCATCCTTCCTGATTTCTCTAGTCCAGAGGCCCTGCTTGGCTGCACATTAGTCTGTCGTAAAGTGCAGCCGAGCTCACCCATATGAAATCTCCAATCCCCCAACCGCTAGTTATTCTTATCTATAATTTCTTTGAGCCCTTTGTAAAACCGCAAATAAAGCAAAATAGAAGAAAAAAGAAGAAGAAAAAAAAAATATTCAAACAGGAAAGAAATTCAAAAAAGAAAATGAAAACAAAGTCGCGACTGTTCTCCATCTCAACCTTGCCCAGTAAAGCTCTCATATCCCTATTATCCAGTAACATACTGATCTGGCTCATGTGCTGTCTGAGCCAGAAAAGTGTCATGCCACCAAAACATGGCGACCGTGATACGCTGAAAACAAAAACGCAGCGAAACGAAGGCGGCGAAAGAGCAGAACAGGCGTAGGCAAAAATAAGAAAGGTATTGAAAAATATCCGGGCGCCGAAAGTAAGTCTTAGCGAAATGAATGATCCAAATGTCTTTGTCCAGCAAGTGTAAAATTGTCAGACGCCATCCCAAACCAAATTCCCATTTGTAATACTGCTTTTGCAAGTCGTATGTCCACGTCTTCCTCATTCCATCCTGTCTTTTTTATTTTCGAAATTTTGTCTTTCACATGTGTAAATATCATTCATGCTTGGCCGTGACGAGTAAAAAAATGCGAGTATTGCTGACAACCGAGTACACAATTCGAATTCCAGTCCTCACCTGTCCTCGAGATTGCTATTAATGAGTGTTGAGGGAAAGTCCCTGAAATGCGGCGGCCCAATCGCCCTGAGAAGAAATGGGCGAACCGCGTTGCAAGTGGTGTGGCTGCCCCCCTTCGCTTTGGCCAGGGTGAACGCGCCGCTGTGGTGCTTGAAAGTCCCCTGGATGCGGGAATCCACCGGAGACTGTGTCTATACCGGGTGAAGGGCCAATATGATAAGGGCCATGCGGTGGCCTGGCATTGCCAAAGGCACCTGCAGGGCCAAACGCGTAGTTGGAGTTGGGAAAGCCAGTAGCAGACACAGGCGACACATGCCGATCCATCCCCATAGGTGGCTGATTGAAACCGCTGGGGCCAGGCCGCATGCCGCGACCCTGAGGACCGGGTGAGATGGTCTGTGTCGTGTGAGCCGGTGGCAGCTGCTGCTCATGCTGGTGCGTATTGCCTCTGCGATCGCCAGAAGCTGACACTCTGCCTTGGCTAACTGCGCCAGGTCCTACTCCGCTTGGCGCTTGGATGCCCAATGTAGGGCTCGCAAATGAAGCTGGGTTGATGGCTGACATCCAGATTCTGGTCTTGTAAATCTTGAACAAGTCGGTCACAAGAGAGTTGAAGTTGATATAGGCATCGGCGAAGTAATAAAAGGTCAGCTTCTTCCAGTCCCTTTCTCCGAGTTAGCACTTTGTTCAACGTTCATGTTTGTGCAAACTTACATCTGAAATTCGGCATCAAGAATCTCCATGTTGAGTCCGTGCTCCTTGACTTTTTGCATACAGACTCGCTTCGCTTTGGCCTCTTGGCCTTCTTTGTCCCGAAGGGCATGTACCTCGTGATTCTGAGCAAGGCGCTTGATGAGCTTTGGGCGAATTTCACCATTCGTCGGCTCTTGCATGTGGTGCTGGCCGGCGGGGCCCATGCCTCCCACAGCGCTGCCTGGCAAGCCATGCGCAGCAGAGAGCATACCACCGTTACCCTCCTGAGCAGCGGCAGCCCCCTGAGAATACATCATGAGCCACTTGTATTGCTCTTCCGCATAGTGTTCCTTCAGATCCTTGGCTGCTTGCCAATCCACGTTATCTTTTGCGACGGTGCCCAAATCAGTACCCCGATCGGCCTCAACAATCACGAGATCACCAGGCTTGACAGTCAGACCAGTTCCTTCCTGGATGTAGAATACATCGGCTCTGGCACACTTGAAGAGAACAACGTGAAGCAGCTGATTTAGGCGAGGTTGGCCGATACCGTACACGTTATGGCGCGGTGACGGGGGGCGATTCTGGAACTGATTCTGTGGAGCGAATTGGCCTGCGAATGGATTGGTAAAGTTGCTCTGCATAGCGTTTCCCATACTATTTGTATGTGTATGCATGGGGTTGCCTGGCCCGAGCATGGCAGTAGGGTCCTGGAAGCCATAGAGCGCACTCTGCTGGTCGGCTTGAGAAGCTTCTAGATTTGCAACAGAGTCTGCAATAGAGCTTATGGATCCCTGGCGAGTCGGCATGTTGGCAAAGGAGTGTCGCCTGCTCTGTGAAGGATCGCCTAGCAAGTAGCCGGGTGTGCTTGACCAGAGCGCTTTTTTAAGCTGCGCATTTTCGAGCTTGCGGCTATCCATGCCATGGGGAGTACGATAGGTTGGAGGACCATATTCGCTCATGCGGCGCTGTGAAGCTCGGCGGCCCATAGGGTCCTGGGGGTCATGACTTTCATCCAGCTCGTCAATAGCATAGTCGGACTCTTCAAGGACAACTTCATGCAGAGGGTGTCCGCCAGTCAGGTAGGTTGCGCCGGTCGAGGCCCGGGGCCGAATGCGTGCATATTGCTGCTGCTGCAATTGCTGCTGGCGCAGCAAAGCATTTTCCCGAGTGAGCTTCTCAATAGTCTTTGATTCAGCGCTCTGGTGGAAAGAGTTTTGAAGAGACTCGCTTGCACTCTCATCTTCATCGTCCTCGACTTCTTTGACTTTGCCCAGAACGGATCCATCGTTGGACATTTCGCTCAGCATACTAGGACGAGAAGGGCGATGTTGCAGAGCAGGATGTCTGGCGCGACCAAGAATCGCGGAAGAGCTCATTCCCGAGGAAGTAGAGACATCGTGCTCCATCTGGCCAACAGAGTATGATTGCGATCGGTACGTTTTGGGAGTTGGATGAAGTGGTATAGCGAACGGAATTTGACTATTCTGTCCATGTTCTCGCGAAGGAGAGGTCTGGACCAGACCTGAATCAGGACCAAAGAACGAATTACCAGCACCGCCAGGTGGCACAATCGATGTAGGCGATGGTAGTACTTCTGTCAGCCTGGACGGTGGATCCTTTCGCTCGTTATTCCATATGCCCGTTCCCCAAGGGAACGACGAAGCACCAGCGGGACGAGGCATTGTGGAGGACGCTGGATGAGAACCCCAAGGTCCGGCAGTGTTCTCGGCTGATGGTGTAGAGGGATGCGAAGCGTTGGGGGACGAGACGGTGTTGCTGGCGAAGGAGCCTTGACGGGGACGAGGCAAAGGTTGCGATGTATCGTTCAACCAAGACGATCGGCGCACTGGCTTATGGGGCTGTGTAACAATAGACGAGGTATCGACCCGATGATCGCCTTCGTCCTCTGAGCTGGCCAGCGCCTCGGAGTCTGGGGTAGATGTTCTGACTCCCACCTTCTCCAGCAGCAGGCTCTGACTGCCGGGACCGTGTGACAGCTTACCAGATTGATTTGGTTTGATGCCACTGCTCATTGTAGACGCTCCAACAAAAGATGCAGATGTTTGCGGCAGTGGTAGCTGAGTAAACGCGAGTGCAGGCCGGAGTTGTTATATCGCAGTCGTCGGTTGCCTGAAAGCGCCAGGACCGCTTCGTAGCATGGGAAGTTCAAGAGGTGAAAGTCGGGTAAAAAATGGTCAGGGCAGCCAAGCGCACAAAGTCATGTGCGAGACTGGCCTTTGGTGTAAGAATATTGGCTGACAAGGTACCAAGCAGGGGGGCGGTTGGCAAGTCGGGATGGCAAGCAACTGCGTCGCGTTGGGTGGATTAATGGTATAGAAGTATCGGAAGGGGTATAAAGACGTCTAAAAATTGATGCGTGTCTAGTTCAGGTGCGGATATAGATTGTGGCGTATAGTAAAGCGCATAAGAACCAAGGCGACGGAGACAGGCGCCGATGCAAAGGCACGAGTGAAGTCAGGTGCGAATGCGGCGCGATGGATGGTGCGGGACTGGCAGAAGAAGAGGTTCTAGTCGGCCGGCATACTCTGGCGACCAAAAGAACTGGGTAGAGATGGCGGTAATTGACTTGTGCGCCGCAGAGAAGATTGCGCGACGTCGGAGGCAGGATCGCTGGTCGCGGACAGTTGATCGATGGCTAGAGGGGGAACTTGGGCAGACGCGGCGGGCGGTCGAGAGACGCGAACGGAGCCAAGCCGCGAGGGAGTGGAAAGTTGCGGTTGCGAAACGGCGGGTTGGGAGAAGCAGAGACAAGAAATAAAACGGAGAGTGATGATGATGTTGGAAGTGAGGAGAGATGTATGTGGAATGGAAGAGCACGAGGTGTGGAAAGCGGGGGAGACGGGACGAAAGCTGCGACAAGAGGGCAGTGGACGGGTAACAGCGAGCCAGGCAGTGAGGGCGAGGCTAGGAGAGCGGCAGAACAGGAGAGGAGCTGGAGGAGCTGGTGGGCAAGACGGATTGAGGTTGCTGGAAAAAAAACTGGAGGCGGGCAGCCCAGACAGAACAAGTGGAGAGAGGAAGCCGCGGCAGCCAGTGCGGTCCCAAGTATCCGTACTACGGGTTTATAGGTTTAGTGTGATTTGAGTGGCTGGGGGAGGCTTTTAGGGGGTTCCTAGCTCTGTAAGGTGACCGTGGTATCCGTACCAAGGTAACTTAGATGTGAGGGAGAGAGGGAGGGGGGCGATTTGGATTATTTCGCTCTGTGTGGGATGCCCAGCCAAGGTTAGGTGCCCAGGTTGGTACATAGTACCTCGGCTAGGTGTATCGAAGAGCAATGCATGATGAATTTTATTATTATATTTGATTTGATACATTCTTTCCATTACACCAATCGCCGCGATTATCGAGGATGTTTGTAGGTGTTTGCAGAAATGTACCTACTAAGGTACCTACTACTGTAGGTCCCTAGCGGAGTCTTCCTGGTAGTATTAATTAGCGGCCAAACAAACAAGGGACCGGCTGCCAGACGCCGTCCGTTTAGGGGTTGGGGGAAATCGGGGGTGGTGGATGGATGGTGGATGCCCGCCAAACCCAAACCTTGCTTGCCCTGCCTGTCATCGCCCTCAAGCTCTGAACTGGGGCTAGCCCACCTGGCCAGGGCCGGCTGTTTTTAGCGCCTGGACCACGCTGTACATGTCCACCCACCACCACCTTGCAAAACAGCAGGAGAGCTTGTGAGCTTGGCGATCCGCGAAAAGCTTTGTGGAGGGCGGCCTGCTCCAGAGAGGGGGCGAAATCAGCGAGCCCGTTTTTCGAATAGCGAACGCCTACGGTACCTACTGCTACCTATTACTGGTTAGCGCAATTGGCTCTCGTTCATTGCCGACCTACTAGAGGTTAGCTAGTGGTGCTGGTGTTTATGCCGCTTCGCCGTCGTCTCTGCATGGCCTCGTTGTGTCTCGGTATGTCCCGTGTACATCTTCTCCGGCATTATCCAACAAATGCTCATATGATTTATCATCCAGGTAGCGTTGCCTCGAAGGCATGACCAGTCCTGCCAGCACCAACGTGAGCCGCCCACTGCACAGAGTCTGCTCGTCGAGAGTCTCGAAGTAGCCAGTGTTGGACAAGTTCTGCCACACCAACCCTCCCCATCGTTGTCCATGTGAGGTCTAGTCGGCAGGCGGCGCTCGGTTGCTACCCATCAGAACTCTTCTCCTCCGCCGCGTTGCATCCGTCGCCAATCGGCAGGGTTGTGGCCCATGTCCTAGACTCCTAGTGTGCACAAAAGCCATGACCGGCTGTATGCAAGGCAGCGCCGTCTTTGCCCACACAACCACACCACCCTACTCCGTACAGAGGTACATAATTGCCAATGGCGCGACGCAAGACACAGGTTTTGGAGGGCCAGGGAGAACAAAGCCACCTGCTGCCACCCAGCGGGGGCGAAATCCTGCATCCGTGACTGGCCAATCCACCGCGGCGAACGGAGTCAAGTCTCAGCCCGCGAGCCTGCAGCTGTCAAGAGGTCTGAAAATATGGTACCGGGGAACTGGCCTACTGATATATCATGCTATACGTCGCACAAGAGGGGCCTTCTTCATGTCCAATCCGTGTATTGGATGCAGCGTGCTGCACAATGATACTGCATGTTTGGAGTGTGGTGCGCCTCCAGTCAGTTAACTAGGTGCTTAGTACAACTCTATCGATACACACCACAGATTCACTGTCCCGCTCTTCTTCAGCAACTAACTACTGATATTACATGGAAATGGCAGTCCAGTTGCTGGCAGCTCGTAATTGGCGGGCACCTGAACCCTGGCCAACTGCCGGCCAAACTGTTTAGCTTGCACTGTCCAGCTTGCCTTGGTTGCAGCGCGTCAAACCACATTGCTGCAATGCGGTGGTTGCATTTTGCAGAATAATAGTACGCACTCGTTGACTTTCGTGTCCAAGACGGAATATGCCCCGGGCCATTGAGCCTAGGCAATAGCAGTTCCTCCGTCAAGTATACCAAGGTGCGGACACACCATCTTCTGGAGCTCCTGCAGCTCGCTGGGCGCAATACACGAGACGGACTCACGGAGACGCGAAAGAATAAATGAATGCAGATAATCAGCATCCGAGCCGCTCGGCTTTGCCCTTATTCAACCTGTGTGTTGTCGGCCACGGCCTAGGTAGCTTTTGCTCATCTATACAAACCTGGCCTGACTTTGCCGCACAACCGTCAGGCACCTCAATATCCGGATTTCACTTCTATTCCGCGTCGCATGCGCAATGGAGCCCCCAAGAACCCCGTCTCTATCCACCTGCATAAGCCCATGCTTCTGGATGGGGTATCCTCATTTTACGAGGTGCCTGTGACATTTTCCCTTTCGTAACTACTGGGCGCGCATCATTGCGAGCTGTGATTCGGAGGTTTGGCGCAAGGGGTTTGTTTCATGGTTCATTCTGAGCCTTCACTCGAAAAGCCTCTTTGGCCGGGTGAAGGCCGTGTTCTTACAGGGCGAAATAGCAATCGATCGGCAAAGTTCCACATCAGTGAACCGGCGCGCCACCAAGACAACCGCTTCAGTCCGCGAATGCCACGGACTCGTTGCACCACACTTGGATTAGTTAGGCAGATAACAGGGAATACGTCGACGGTCCTTTACCTACCTTCGATGCAAACAGGTACTCTCGATGAGAATCTCAACGGCACGAGGACACGCTCCGTACTGATGCATGCATGACGATGGCCTTCTGTGGTGCTACTTTGAAAAAACTACTTTGAAAAGGAACCCGACCAAGTGACCTGAGGCGGTATTCATCAAGACCAGTAGCTCCAAGTTTCGACGGAGATCCGCACCATCTCTCACCGAGAGTCGGCCTGCATATGATGTATTCTCTCACCCCATGTATGCGTCCTCCAGAAGGTTCCAATCCTATCCTGCCATGCCTAGAACTATCGCAGCTCATCAAGTCGACTCTCCAAGAGACAAGCGAAATCCCCATGAAAGGCTGGCTCCTGGCACGGACACCTAGGACAGATCGTCGGTACCCCGCAAAATCGCCCATTGATCCAGAACCCCCCGCTACCCACACCTCATCCAGCCTTTGCCGCTGAACCAGTCAGGTGGTCCAGACAAGAGGTCTGGTGACGATGATATCAAAACTATAAAGCCACAATCCTCTTTAGTCAGCTGCAAAGATGGTTGATTTCGATATTTTGGTGGTCAGTCCTGCACATTCTAGTTCAATGCAGACCCACATGGATATGCAGGCGGTTTCCAGGCCACGCGAATGCCCGACACTTGAGTCGCGGCAGATGTGTTTCCAAAAGAAGCAGTGAAAAAGTCTTGTGTGGAATATATCATCAGCGTCTACGCTGAAGGAGCTTCTCACATGCTTTTGCCAATCCATCACGGCCCTGTTTCTACGTCGTCGACCAAGTGCAATATTGAACCCATCCACGCCATACGCCAAGACTACTAACCTTGCTACAAGCTCGGGAGCAGTGTATTCGGACGCTGTAGGCCAGAAACTAAAATCAGGGTTCGGCCCTCGCGTTTAAGCCCTGATAGCGTCCCGAATGGTCTGTTTCAACTTGGCATTTACGGGGCCAGTTTGTTGCAACTGTCGTGCTGCTTTGCCTCTGCTTAATTCCTTTGAGCAAAGATGGCAGTCGCATCCTGCAATTTCAAGCTCAGAAACCCGTCCTGGCAGTTGGCAGGCTTCCTTGACAGAACCCCGCTTGGCGCTCATGACGGAGCTGTGACAGCATTCAAGAAAGACCTGCATGAGCGCGCCGGAATAAAAAAGTACGTCAATTTATAAGAAGGTTTGGAAAGAGTACAACCTTCTGTGGGAATATATATGTCGGTTAAAAAAAGCCCAGAACTATGCGTCCAGGCGTTATAATACAGTGGGCTGGTTCTATAGAGACTGATGTGCAAGTCTTGTCCGATTTTCTTCCTTTTTCCTCCATCGTCTTGGATTTATGCACTTTGGGCAGCAGGCTTTTGGTGCTTGAGTTTTTCCTCAAATTTGGCAAATTCCTGCAGAGAAATTTCCTCCTCTTCATCGAGAATCTGGCGGACGCCCTTGACCTCTTCAATCTGCTTGAATATTAGCGGCTGCATGGATGTCGCAAGGAGGGATTGTATCGCTTACGTAGTGCATTAACATGCCTTCGATGCCGTTCTTGAGCGTCACCGTACTCGAGTCGCACGTTCGGCACGCGCCACGGAGCTTCAAGTTGACGAAGCCTTCCTCGTCGAAGCCCCGAAACTCGATGTCGCCGCCGTCCTCCTGGATGGCGGGGCGGATCCTCGTCTCCAGGAGCTCCTTGATCATGCCGACAACCTCACTGTCGTCCTCGTTGTAGGCCAGGCTGTCGGCCTCGGCCTCGACGGCACCGTCGGCACCCGCGGGCATCTCCTTGACGGTGACAATGGTCTCACCGGCGGTGATGGCCTCGGTGATGAGGGCAAAGATCTCGGGCCGAATGTGCGCCCAGTTGGCGTCGCCGGCCTTTGTGACGGTGATGAAGTCGGCGCCGTAAAACACAGATGTGACGCCGTCAATGTTCATGAGCTTGGCGGCGAGCGGCGACGGGTGCGGTGGCGCAATGGTGGCGCGCGGGTTCATGTACTCGACAAACGGCGCGGCAAAACCCTCGGGGAGCACGCGGTGGTTGGGCAGGAACTTGAGCGCGTCGTTGTTGGGTGTCGGCTCCGTCTGGATGAAGATGGTGCGGCGCGCGGACAACGCGCTCGGGTGCTGCGGCCGGCGCGCTCGGAGCAGCGGACGGGTATTGTGTAATCGCGAGGAAACGGTCGTGCTGCTGCTGCTGCTGCTGCTCATGGCGCGGGCGGAGCGGTCCTGTGAAGTGGCGGCGCGCAGGCTCTGGCGCATCTGCATCGGACATGTCGCCACAGGCCGAGAGGTAGCCGAGCGGAGGAGTGTGCGGGAGAAGACGGCCCGCGACGAGGTGGAAGCGGCGGCCATTGCGATGTGTGGTGCACGGCGGCTGTAGAGAAGACACGGGTTGTAGAAGTAGAATATGTGACCCTTGGGCTGGATGGAAAAGAACGGCGAGATGGCGCGCCTGGTTGCTGGAGGTGAGGTAACCGGGGCAAGTCGAAAAAGTTGAGGGCGTATAATCGAAGGCTCATTAGTAATGGTGGAGCTACGTATCAAGACCGATAATCGGGGTACAGCCGACCGAGCTGGGCCAGGGTACAAGCGGCACTTCAGCTCCGAGATGAGCGGAGCTCTCGCGTTTGACCTGTAATTTTTTTTCCATCTTTTAAACAAGAACCGAATCCCGTCAAACAGGGCAGCACCGAATATCGCCAAGCAGTTGATCTTTTTTCAGAATACATTTTTTTTGGGTTCATCATACTTGCTTGCCCTCTACGTCGCTTCCCTCCTTTCAGTCGTTTTCTCCAGCAGCAGTCGCAGTTCTTGAACTGCCACAAGCCATGTCTTCGCCCGGGGACAGCACATCGGCACAACAGAACCAATCAGCACAGCCTGCAGCAGATCAAGCGGACAAGGCGACATGCGGGGTCTGCCAACAAGCACCGCCTAAATATAAATGCCCCAGATGCTACCTGCCATAGTATGTTGCAGCACCTCTTCCCCAGTCTGCTGGACGCCGCTGTCACGGCGACGTCGTCGACGACCCGGGACGGAAGTATCAATAGATAATGCGTGCGCTAACAATCTACCCGATTCGCAGCTGCTCCGTCGCTTGCAATAAACTTCATCGCGAGAATCACCCCCCGGATCCTGAACCGAATCCCGAGCCGCCGCGAGCCGCCGCTCCTCCTCCCGTCGACGGCGAGGCACCGTCCACTGCCCCAAGCGCACCCGACACGAGCAACCCCTTTCGCATTCTCGACTCGGCCTCGGCCCAGTTGCAGATGCTCTTCACCAGGTACCCCGACCTGCCACAACAGCTCGCCGACATTTACGCAGCGACGCAACCACCGTCCGAGTCGGCAGAGAACAGGAGCATCCCGGCATCGTTGCTCAAAGGACTGCCGAGCAAAAGCAACGGGTGGAATCACGACGTGGGAATCAAACGAGGCAAGGAGGCCCTGCGCAAGGCCCGGAAATCAGACGGCGCCGAGGGTGAGGGCGTTAAGGAATACTGCGAGCTCATCATGCACCTGATGAATGGGCAGGCCGGCGCTGATGCCTCGGCGTTGCTGCAGAAGCAGGCAGCGATGCAGGACTCGGAGCTCATTGAACGTCTGATGAATGAGGAGAACCGGAGGTGAATACGTGAAGGAGGGCGGAATTCGCCGCGGTATATTATTTGCTTCTTAATCCTGGGGGGTATCGACTAAAAATACATCTGTCGCCCGACCGCAAACTACTCCTACCGAATTTCCTGGGTGTCATCATCATGTGCGTCATTCAGTGTCATTCAGTGTTGTTCAATGCGAGCCGCCTGAAGCGGGCAAAGATGGATGTCATGGGCGGTTTTGGCATCTCCACAGCGTCAGCAGGTGGCGAAGGTGCCTTTTCCTCCTTGCTTCTGTGAAGGCTGTTGAGGCGACCGCGGAACTTCCATTTAGATTCGCCCTTGGTGCTCTGGGCTGGGGAGGTGGATTTGGGCCGCGGTGGCGATGTCGTGGCGACCTCGTCACTCTGCGTCCAGTCGACGCGATGATCCTCGGCGACGGCTGCCAGGTTCGCGGGGTTCAGGGGTGGTAAAAAAGTGGAATGTCTGGGGGACGGATCAGTGCCCTTGAAGCTCCCGGTGCTCTTTCGGCGCGATGCGCGGAGCTGCTTCTCCTCCGGGTTGTGCGCGGTGTAGATGCTGCGACGCTTGACGAGCGGCGACGTAAGCACGGGCTCGAGGTTGTCAGACATGGAGGCTTGAAACTGGTTGCGGTCGTAATTCTTCTCTCGCAGAGTCTGTGCTCGCCGTAGAGCCTTGGCCTGCGCAATTGGTGCGGTACCGGGCCCGGCTGTGGAAGCAACCTGGAAGTCGCCGTTGAGCCCATCCATGTGGTACTTGAGCGCCGCCCGAGACAGTTTGTGAATGTGCGACTTGTCCGGGGGCGAGTCGCCCAGTGTTGTATCCGCAAACTGCGAAGCCGCGACCTGCGGGACATAGGGGCCTTCTGAAGGCGCTGGATCCGCGGAGAGCTGCTCATCCAGGGCCGTTTTGGAGAGGCGTCGGCGAAACCGTGCCGCCAGACCGCTTTCTGACTGATGATGATCGACCACCTTGGACTTGCGCTTGTCCTTGAGCGAGTCGAGGGCGACTGTTCGACGGCGGAGAGACTTAGCCTCGCTCGTCTCCTGGGTGCGAAAGGGCTTGCTCGATGACGATGAGACGACGCGTGACTGGCGCTTCGCATCGAACGCCGTGCGCTCGGCAATGACGAACTGGAGGCGTCGGGTGAGGTCTTCGGGGTCCAGGCCGCACCTGTGCGGTGCCGCTTTGGGTTTTGGTGGCTTGAGATCGGCCGTGTTACCCTTGCCAGGGCGATGCACCAGCTTGGTGGACTGGAAATCGTAGGCGTAATTCATATTGGAATGCATATTCTTTGGCGTTTTTTGCTGTTTTGGTGTGTTTTTCTGGTGCTGTCGATTAGATGTGTAGATATGTGGGAAGAAATAGTCGAATTGTTTCGCGCTCAACCATTGATCCCGTGCCGGCTTGTATCAAAGACTGAGGCGGCAGATGCTGTGAGTTGCTGCTGGTGTTTTTGTGTGAGCCAGTATAAATCTGCTGTGCAAATGCGTGTTGCCACAAGAGTCGGACAATGCAACCGCGCGCAGAGACAACTGAGACAAACGTCTTGGGCAGAGAAACAAAAAAAAGACTCTCCGTGTGCGAAGGTGAAAGGCGGCGGCGCCCTTTTTCTTTTTCTTCTACAGCCACGGTGGCCCAAGACGCCACGGCAGACGATATCGGCTGCGGGGAATCCTTGTCCAAAAAAGATCAGGCCTTCGCTGTTGGGGGGATCGGCTCTGCCCCCAGTGTTCCGAAGCGAGACGGAGAAAAAAAAAAGTAGGCAAAGGATGGCGATGCCCGCAACGTAAGACGTTAGAGGACGGTGAGATTGGGTTTATTTAGGGTTCCGGGTCGTGATCGAAGTTGGGAATTCCAGGATGCCAGGGAATAATCGACTCCCAAGTTTGGCGGCAGGTGAGGGTGGTGAGGGTGGTGAGGGTGTCATAGAGGAGGGTCTTCCTCCTGTAGCTGGGGTCGCTGCCGCGCGTGGGAAGACAGCACAGTATATAAGCTCTCCCGCCGAGGACGAAAAAAGAGGCGAATTGAGCACCGAGGTCCTAGCGGTTCGACCCGAGAGCGATAATTTAAAGCAAAGAATGAAGAACAAAGTGAGGAATGTTTTGGGTCAGGGAACCGTGCTGGTGGTGGGTTTATTATGTGGGAGGGGGGTAACCAGGGCCGCGGCCAAGCGCCCAACGAATATGTACGTGGACGGAGAGGGAACTGGCATCACAGTTCAAGGGCCGCATTTGGCACGCGATCATGTCGATCCGCCCCCGGCTTGGGGGGAGGGGAGGGAAAAGACGAACAGCCACCACCAGCGAAAACACGAGGGCGGCGGGCGCGCCCAGTATTGGATTGGACCCATGGTGTTTCGTTAGTTAATAGCACTCACTTCACCTGGCGACAAGTCACAAATCGACGAAAATGGGGAGCCGAGAGATGGGGAACTGACAAGGGACCAGTTCGGTAAGTCATGTGCAGCAGGCTACTGCACAGTGACGTGCCCTGGGCTGATGTCTGCTGAGGAAAAACCCTTTGTTTTCGTGGTTTGCTGCAGAAGGCGTTATTCGTTGCCAACTGGTAATTCGTGGGCAAACTGCTAACAAGCATCCTTTTTTTCTTGCCGCTTTCCTTCCAGCCGCATTCAAACTAGTTAAAACAGCTTATTATTACTGGGTCACAAAACTGTACTAATTAAAGCAGCACTAATACCGAGGAAGGAGGAAGGGCGACAAGAGCGGTGGACGGACAAAGTCACGGTGTGAGTGGATGTGGCCCTGTGGATTGTATTTCAGGCCCGTGATGGCACGATGGCGATGACCCGGGTACATGGCCTGCACACAACCGGGGAAAAAATATCAAAAGCAATTTTTTTTGTCGCGGGCGTTGGGGTTTCTCCGGCTTTTGTCCAGCTGCCACGAGGTTTAAGACGGAGGCGCCGTTTATTTAATTAACTAGTTTTGGGACCGGAATCAGCCACAAAAGCGCCTTGAACTCTCTTTTTCTTTTTTTTTCTTTTTTTTTAGCGCGCGGCGCTCTCCAAGCTGTGTCAGTCTCGGTAACTACCTGGGTATTGAGGTCAGGTGGTGTTTACGAGTCCCAGTGAGGGGGCGGTTCCCATTTCTGTATGTTGCAGAGCAGGAAATGACAAACCGCCTTTTGAGAAATAACCGAGCTGCCAATGCAAGTCGCCATGCCGAGACATGGGCGGTGGTTAGACATGGGCGCGCCAAAAAGGTCACGGGGGACTTGTTCAAACAGGGCTACCATGAGCCCTGCTTCAAGCGCACGTTAAAACCCGGGTCACCCCCATCCATGGCCTGCGCGAATAGAGGGGTATGGTAACGCACGTCCCAGGTCAGATTGGCTTTGGGGAATAGTTGTGCATACTGGTAACTAAAAACAACTACATAGTAGAGAGGCGCTTGCGGGGCTGCGCCTCCATCTCCCTCGAGAGAAACTACTGCAACTCTCAACCGAGGCAAAACGGTGAGAAGAGGTGGTGGACCAATACTTGTGTAGGTAGGTACCCGGTAGGACTCCGTAGGGTGGAAAACGGGAGAGGCTCGCAGCGAGGGAGGCCTATTCCTAGGTACAATAATAATAAAGATCACAGCTATGAAAGCACCCAAACGAGCAGGTGACATGCCGCAGTCCATCAGAACTGACTCGAGTTCCCGTTTGCTCTTCTTCTTCTTCATCATCCCCTCCAAGCCTCGTCACTCTTTCATGCGTGAATCGACGCTATCGAAAAAACCCAAGCCTGTGCATAATACGTCGACTCAGAAAAAGGAAAAACAGTCATGCTGTGACTCGCGTCTCCAGAGGCTCGGCCCTCGCTGGTGGTGCCGTGGGGGAGACAAAAAGCAACTGAGTTTCCTGGGCTATTTTCTCCGAACGAGGCGGTGGTGGCGGAGACGGCTTACTGCCCTGCATGATGCGACGCATGTTCACGTGTTCAGGCGATGGATGGGGACAACTCATGACGAGCAGAGCTTTTCAAACCTGTTTGTTCTCGGCCTCGTGGTGGTGGAGCGGGATGAATCTCGGCTTGCCGCCCTGGCGCCCCCCCTTGGTTTCGTTCCTTTGTTGGTTGATTCACGACTTCATCTGGGCGCCGTTTTGATCAAAAAATTGGTCCAGTTGCTAGAACATTTTGCAGTCGACTCCTAGGGACGACAGCCGGACGCCGCTCCGTTGTCCTTGACCTGTCGGCCGTCGGCCGTGAGCTACATCCAAGAAGCCTGACCTCATCCGGCCTAATAAGTAGAAAAAGGGTCTCTGAGTTCTTCAACCAAGACCAAGCGTGAGCCGACTGTGGATCACATCTAAATGGGAGGCTAATACATAACTAGTGGCTAGTGGTGTATTTGGTTAGCTGCATTTCTTCCAAGAAACTTGCCTCTTCTGACAGTGTACAGAACAGGCTGGCCTATTTCTCTCATTTGGCGATTCGTTTGCTCCTTCCTAGGTATGAGAGCTGGCTGTTGAAAGCGCGGTAGACGCAAAACTACATCCCTAAGCTCGTCCGCGGCCTTGCTCCCTGCAATATCGCACTGCCTTGTTATCCAGCCGTGAATAGTGGGCCGTCACCGCGTGGCACGGAGCCAACCGAGCGCGCGCCTGTCAGCACGATGGACCTCGATGGTGCAAGGTGAGCCAAAGCCATGGGACGATGTAGGTTGGAATCAGGCATTCGGCGACTGGCCGAGAGAGATCCTGTCGAGAAGTAGTCAATGGTACCCCGACGGACACGCCAATCGTGAGGGCAACTGGTTCATGAACAACCCTCAGCCTGGTTGTCAGGCTGAGAGATCCCTAGCCACGCAGCACGTGGACTGATGCAAAGTCGCTAAAGTTTGCCCGTGCATCAGTAACATTGCCCAATCACGATGGATGTGTACAAATGTAAACTTCCCGCTTGTACCCGTCCGCGACGGTGAGCCCACTGACCTTTGTTCCCTCCTCAGGTGTATTGCATGATTATGCAGAGGAAGAAATGATTTCCCGGACAAGTACGAGCGGGAGCACTGAAGCTTGCGAGCAAGATTCGATCCATGACATATACAACTCCACAGAGAGCTTCTGTTTGCTTCTTTGCGGAATGATGCCGCTTTGAACCTGTGCATAACAGTTGACGCGGAATGGCAGGCTGTCATATTCGCACCTACACCGGTGATTTGGAGCTGTTCCCCCGGGGCCTGAACTGGGCCAACGTATAATTGAGACATGATCCTTGGTTCAATGCTTCTCCCCGTCATCAAAAATCCCAGCGATCTGGCCGGGGATCGCTCACCCTGCCTGTATCGGGTAGCAGGGACACAATGTTCCCCGCTGCTTGTCCCGCTGCTTGTCCCGCAGCTTCATGCCATCACGGCCGTACAAGAGGGGGGGCGCCATTGTCAGATATCACAAATCATTGGCGAGAGCTGGCTTGTCTCGTCTCCGCCGTGTATGCAGAGCTAGTGCTGTTGGGACTAGCTGAGCCGCATCCTGCAGCGATAGCTTCCCTTTTTTTTCCCTCCGAACTTCTACAGGCTGCATACTTGCGGGGGAATTGTCAATGGCGCAGAGGGCGGCGGCATGCCATTCATCGGAGCGTTGCGGTTCGTGGCGACTGAGATGAGAAGACAGGCAATGCACCAGTTTCATAGTGATGCCTTTTTCTTCTCTAAGAAACACATGGGACTCGACTGGGCGAAAAGCCTTGTCCCAGGTTCCTTCGTCAACGAGTATGCACTGGCATGTGATTTGCGCGTGTGTTCTGCCACGCTGCAGGGTTGCCAAGACAAAGGCGGCCCTCTACTGGCAGTTCTTCACAAAAGAACCCTCATCATGCAAGGATTCGTGGTTACCCCGAGCCCGTATACACCGAGTGCGTGGCTGCGAGAGAGAAGCGATGGCGAGAGGGAGTCGGCGCGGCGGCTTGATTTGCGACGGGCGTGGCTGGCTGCTCCTGCTGGGGCAAGCGAGCGAGCAAGTAATTATTAAAGACAGGATGGGAGTAGGACCGGCAGGTTTTCGCCACCGCATGCGAGGGCGAAAGCTGCCCATGTTGTAGTTTACATGACCGCCAATGGATGGCAAACCCCCCGCACTCGCGAGGTAGTCATCCTGGCTCTGGATGGATGACCCGGCCGACGATTGCCAGCTGGAACAGTGAACCCCGGCTAAACCCGCCGGGCTGGGCCTCGGGGATCGGAGAGGAGGGGCAACGCAAGCTTTACCAGCCGGGCTAGTTATTTAGCTCGCTAGGTAATCAAGTCATTAGCTTACTTGTGCCAGGCGAGCTTTCCCGCTGATACCTTGGTCGAGGCAAAAGAGGTCGTCCCCTTGTTTCGCCCGAGTTGCACTCGTATCGTTTTTGTCCTGTTCCTCCTCGCTCTCCCTGCTTTGGCATACGGGCTGTATCTGGGTTTATGAACAGACCTCCGGGCAGCTTCCGCAGCAAGCTGGGCATCCACATTGGGATATTATTCTCGGCGCTTCCGAGTTATATATATCGCTGCGCTGCACGACCAAACAGCCCATCTGGGTACCAGACGAGGTCACCGAACCAGTCTTGAACTAGTTGCTGGCGAAGGTTGGATGGTGTCGCAGCGACGTTTGATTAACTATTAGTAGAACTGCTACTGTTACGGGAAGAAGAAAAAAGTCACGCCACACTCTCAGCACACGGCAGTAGGGATAATTCGTCACAGCAATCAACACCCCGCCTTCCTGGCTGCCTTGTCTGCTTGCATTGTTCCCAGCAACTCGAGATTAAGCTGCAAATTTGAACGGCAGGACCAAGATATAGGGAGGGTCAATACGGGATACATATGTATGTATGCTTGGTGCTAGCTGGACCGACTTTCGGGATCCCGCATGCTTGCGCCGCGGCTGTCGCTCTTTGGTGACAATCCTTGTCGGCCAAGGCTGACTGACTGATGAAGTGATATAGCACAACACGCCATACAAATTACCACCCGGCGAATTATAGGACGACGCTGGATCCTGGATCGTCCCCGTCATTAATTGTGGTGAGTCCAAGTTATTTTCTTGGCTGTTGATGCGTCTCCTGGGGGCTATGCGCGCGCACATGCACATGCCCATCTATGTATGTATGCACATACAACTCGATGACTGTCACGACATGGCTCCTTGTCGAGTCGGCAGAAACCACGATGCATGTAGAATGTTGAATGTTGAGAGAGGACAGACCGAGCACCGAGCTACCAAAGCCAACTACCTACCTATTATTATGGACCCTCGCTGAGCCGTTGCAGCAAACGAATGCGTCTGAAGCCTATTCCTATTTTTTTCTTGTCAATCCTTCCCTGTTGCCTCCCCCGTCTTCCATCTTGTGCATTGCGCGAACATGGTTTCAATACCCCCTCTCTTTTCTCGTTTGCACTAACTATGGAACTTGCCATGGAGCTGACCGAACAGCCGCTCCAGGTGACGCATCCCGCAAGCCGCAACCCTTGACGACGACGCTTTTTGGGCGGGCCGCCGCAGTTCAACGCCTTGCGCATCAAGCGAACAAATCTCACAAGCCTTGCCGCCCCCTCCTCCGGGGCCTTTCGCCTTTTCGCCGCGCCTCGTCGCCAAGCAGGGGAGCCCAGCCAGCCTCTGGCTAGGCCGCCACGGACGCCGCCGCCGCCTCGGCCTCCTCATCGTCGTTCCTTTCCCCCCTTTGCGCAAACAGCTGATTCCTTGGTGGAATTCATCGCACATCTATCTCATCACCCATCGCGCGCCGTCGCTGCCAAAACGATCAACTAGTTACATACACCCACCTGGCCCTCTCAGCATCAGCCTCGCCCGCTAGTTACCAATCACCCATCAGCGCCGCCGCACCCGTTTCCGCGCGGCCCCCCCCCCGTTGAACTATCAAGACGCTTACGACTGCCTATCCCGCGACCGATACTCCTGGCCCCGACAGGGTCAATCACGAATCTGTATATCCATCATCGAGGACCCCTTCTTCCTGTGCTACACGTACAGTACAGTACGGTGCAACCCGACGCCGGATAGCAAAGTGCCCGACTCAACTTGTCGCACTTGTCGCAAGCCTCGCATTCGCACTCGGCTGCCCACGACTACCACCACAGCCAGCCCCTGGTGGCGATGAAGAGGTGGCCTGCCTACACTGGCCTCTTTCTTGTCGCGAGTCTGTTGCAATAAGCCCCATAAGCGCCCCAGGTACGCATTTTCCCGACGTCATTTTTTTTTCTTTTTGCTTCTGCGTGCTGGTGTCTTTCTTGTCTTTCTTGTCTTTCTTGTCTTTCTTGTCTTTGTCTACTATTACTCCGTACCCTGTGCCACAGGTGTAACGTGCTTGCGGTCTGCCTGTCTGCACCGGAGGCTACCATTGGCAAGCAAGCAAATGCGCCGCACCGCCCACCGACCGACTTCTCGCTCTCGCGGGCGGACGTACCAATCAGCCCGCGCGACGGCCACAATTGCGGCGTCGTCCCTTTTTGAAGCCTCGAATTCTTCCCAGTCTCCCTGTTCCAGACAGCTAACTTGTCCTCGTTTGCCTTTTTCCCAGGCGCAAACAGCTGTTCCAATGGAAAGCTTCACCATTGCCGTCATCGGCTCTGCTGGTGCTGGCAAGTCTACCTTTATCCAAAAGGTCCTCGGCTTATCCAGGCCACCCATCGCCAGCTCCGCAAGCGTCCGCCTGGTTGTCGACAATGTAACCCACGGCGTTTCGCTTTTCGAGCTTGATCTCGAAAATTTCGACCAGACCGCCTCGTCTCAGACCATCCAATGGCCTAAGCAAATCAATGGCCACATCGTCCCCCGCCCTGACGCTGCCCTGGTCCTGTATGATGTCACCAACACCGAATCCGTTCGACCACTCCCTCAGGCCATGAGTGCGTTCCCGACGAACGACGTCCCACAACCAACATTTTTGCGCCATTGCTAATCAGCTTGTAGCTGCCATTACGAATGCTGGCCTGCCTTCTATCCTGGTTGCTTGCAAGTGCGAAATTGACGAGGACGACTGGGTTGTGGATGCCGATGGCGTCGCTGGCCACAAAATCTTCAAGCCCTGCATCGGTACCTACAAGGTCTCCTATGACAAGCCAGATGTATCAAGGGCCTGCCTGCAAGCCATATTAAAAGCCGCCATTGCTTACAGAAAGGGTACGCCTGCCCCTCCGAGCCACCAATGCCACCCTAACAAGACTGCAGAGCACAACGAAACCGCTCCCCGCCGACGCGCGCAATCGGCTGTCAACCTCGAAGCACCAGACACATCAGCTGGGCGTCCCATCAGTCAACAAAGCAAGCATAGTCGCGCTAGCTCTGAACTTTCTGTCCTCAGAAGCTTTGGTACGCCGCACACTGAAAGCTACCGCGCTCGTGCCTCGAAGAACTCGGGACAGGCCTACCGAACCGAAAAACCTGGCGCCGACTACTTCCTCGATGTGGAAGAATCCGACAGCGAGGGCCAAACATACTCCGACGAGATTCCTATTCTTCAGCGGAGTGAGGAGAGCTTTGTCGAGAAGCAACCCAAGATGACCGGAGTCCCCATGGCCGAGCTCGTCGATCGCCTTCTTGCGCTGAGACTGTCCCGTGCAGACAATAATTTCTCGGATATTTTTCTTTGCTTATACCGCAAATTCACCACACCCACCGAGCTTTTCGCTGCAATCCTAGCCCGTCTTGATCGTGTACGGGATGACAAGACCGCGCACTACCTCTCCAAAACCGCTACCCAATTGCGCATCATTGAAGTAATCGCCAAATGGGTTTCGCTTTACCCCGGTGACTTTGCCAAAATTTCGACCCGAAAGAGCTTGTTTGAATTTATCCAGCATCTCTCGGCAGAGCCCATATTCTCTGTCGCTTCCCAGCAAATGAGAAGAAGCCTACGGAGACGTACGCTCGAAGATGATGACACGGGTTGGGCCACATCGGACCACAGCGGCTCAGAATATGACCAGGAGAGGCTATCGAGGGAGATGAAAGAGCTCTCCGCTAGCATCGGCATGTTTCAGGTGGACGAAGACCACGATGGTGGCCTTGAGGCTACCTTGCTTCCAGACTTTGCCGGCCAACCTGGCGGCCAAGTTCAATTTCATTCCTACGACGAATATGAACGAGAAGCAGTATCCCTTGAACCAGCAGACCTGCATCCCATGAACAAGACGCGTTACCACATTTTCATGGATCTGTCAGACGATGAGATTGCCGATGAGCTGACGAGAATTGACTGGATTCTGTTCTCGTCCATCAGAATCCGAGACTTTGTTCGCTACGTCAGTCTGTCCTCGTCGCAAAAAGAAAAGGCCACCAGCTTGAAGAATGTGAATCGCATGATCAATCACTTCAACCATATCGCAAAATGGGTCGCCAACCTGATTCTTCTTCGCGATAAAGCCAAGCACAGAGCGCAAATGCTGGAAAAGTTTATGAATGTTGCCATTAAGCTTCGACAACTCAACAACTACAACGGTCTTGCCGCCGTGCTTGCCGGCATCAACGGAATCGCCATCCACCGACTGGCACAGACTAGGCAGCTTGTGTCGGCCGAAGTGCAGAAGCGGTTCGCCCGGGCTGTGATTCTCATGAGCACGCAAAAGAGCCATTCGGCGTACCGCCTAGCCTGGGAAAACTCTCCTTTGCCGCGAATCCCCTTTGTTCCCCTGCATCTGCGGGATCTGGTCAACGCTGAAGAGGGCAGCAAGACCTTTGTCGGCCCAAACGGCGAACGGGTCAACTGGCGAAAGTTTGAGGTTCTGGGAGATGTACTGTTGCCACTGATGAAGAGTCAAGGCACGGCGTATCCGAACCTGGTCAAGAATATGCTTACTCGCGAACTCATCTTGGGCTGTCGGATGCCCACAGATGACGAGGTACGCCGTAACAATCCAACGGTGCTGATGACATGACTAGGTTCACTAACTTAATGTTAGGAAATTTACCAACGAAGCATCGAACTGGAAAGCAGCAACTCCATTGGCGTCTTTGACCCAGCCAAGAAGAAGTTTCCCTGGTTTGCCAAATAGAGATTGGCAGATCAAAGCTTTGCTGGGGACGAACCCCTTTTATAACCATCATATATCTTACGCTTGCCCACGAATCTCCCCTTTCTTTTTCATGCATATTGCGGCTGTGCCGCCCGCAAGAAGAACATATATACATTGCGAAGCACCGTTACTGCCCTCTAGTGTTTTCTTATCCTGTTATTTACCAACGACATGTAGACATCGGCCCCATATTTGAGCGTTTTCTATTATTTTGACGACGGCATATTACACTCTCATACTATCTAACAATATACACCTCCTCTCTATTTCGTATCTTAAGAGCCACATTTGTGAGCATTGGTTGGGCTTGAATATGTACTGCGTTTGCTGTGCTGAACGAATTTGGAAGGCACGCCATGGCGCGCAGCTGGCAAGTCTGCAAGGCGCTGCGCAGGATTTTTACACCTTCAATATAATCTCGATTCAGAATCAAATATTGCCCAAGAAGTTGTTCGCCTCGAGTGGCTCTCTTACGTTCATTTTTCAGCACACTTCGCGATGGGCGCCGTGCAATTGCCGCCAGTGACTGTCTGGAGCCAACAAACGGGCTTGCAGGCAGACCTGCGCACATCGCTGCGGTTCTGCGACACTTCACCAGGAACTGCTACCATATCTTGCGCAGACGACATCATCAGGTTGCGCAGAGAAGACAAGCTCTGGATTCTGCCGGCAACTCCCTGTCGAATGCGCATCTCGATTCAATTGCTTGGTCGCGTCTCTGGCCAGAGTCTCGACATGGGGCAAGTGGCGAGGTGGATTGAAAGCTGCAATGTATGTCCTGCGTACTGTGCAGGTCGCACACGATGGAGGATTGACGAGGAATTAGATTTGGGAACGTCTAAAATTGCGAGTACGGTATTGCGAAGTACCTGGGGACTCGGCGCTTAGCTTCTCTCTGCAGCACCCGGACGTGTCGGCGTCTCTGAGCTGCCCGCCGACGGCAGCGAAACGAGAGCTCCAGGATCTCCGCTGTCAAGTTGAAATAACACAGACACCGAATACACGACATCTGAAAAAGAGAAAGCGCGCCAATATGAATGAGTTGAGAGACGAGACTGGCCATCAAGCGGCTGAACCCTTGCGGACGAGCCATCTAAATCGGCATCAATCTCGCGAACTCCTTACGATGACAAATTATGTACATAACAGAGACTTCTATAACATCTTGCAGGCTGCAATAACGGTTCTTGTCTCTGGCTCAGCTAGGCATTTGACAGATATGACTGTTAGGCAAGGCAACACAGCACACGCCCTGGCCAGGCTTGTTCCAGCAGTCTTCAATGTGCCTTATATCAAGGTACGCACCTGAGAATATGTAACGTCCGTGGCTAAATTAATTAGGTTATTTCAGACCGAGCTCAGCACATGTCAACCATTACCGGCGCACTGACTGCCATGCAAACCACTGTCCAATCGCCGGCCTTGAAGCGGAAACTCTGGAATCTCGCTGACCGCGGAGGTATCGAAAAACACCTGTGGCATTCTATCATCTCCCAAGTGAACCCACCAAGCTTGCCTGGGCCAAAAATGAGGACTATCGGACAAGATGAAGTTGGGGCGGTGCGCGATGCGGGACCTGAGCATGGTTTGGGGTCGAACTTGATATGCTTTGGAGAGGACCTCTTGTCCCCGAATTTTCAGGACGGCATAGACGAAAGCTTTGAAATGTAGCACAGGGAGGAGCCTTCATCTACCGTACAAATTTACCCCGATGTATTCGAAGAGGCTCTCCCTCTTGCTGGAGGGGAATTCGCTGTAGCCGCGCAAATCGGCGAGGGAAGCAGTTACTTGTCTGGCTATACAGATAATATTATAGAATTTGGGAGCGATATTGACACACTAGAGACATATCTCGGTATTTAGAGACGATTCATCTCACTGTAAATTAATCCAATTTGCGATGAGCGATGTGCTTTACTGACGCCTAATCTGGTGAAGATGCCAGCTTCCAACCAAGATCGTAGGGAAAAAGGAAAACGCCGAATGACATGCCAAACCGCTCCAAAAGAAAAACCACCAAGGCAAGAAGAGAACAAAACGAATGACCCCCCATCACCCGACACTACTTCCTCGCATTGTCTCCTCCCCTCCCAGCAGGCGCGGCCGCGCCGACCCTTTTCTCCTTCTTCTTCTTCTGCCCCGGCTTGAGCGTGGCGTAGTGAATGTACCACAGCAGGGCGGCCTGGACGCCGAGGCCGACGAGGACGACGATGAGGTTGGTGAAGAGAAACGGCTGGTCGTTGAGGACGGCGACGGCCTCTTTCGTGGCGCCGACGGATCGGAGAAAGTCGAATTTGGCCATTTCTTCCCTCTTTTTGTCTCGTTTTCAATTAACCGCGTCTAGTATGTGCTTTTTTTTTTTGCAGCGTGTCCGAGACCGTTGTGTGTAGTCGGTAGTGGTGGTTGGGTTTTTGCAACCACGGAAGAGCGATTGCAATGGTTCGACAATTTCTTGTTCTTTTGTGATGATGGTTGAAGATGTGTTTTTGGGAATCATTAAAAGGAATACAGAGGGCAAATGCTATAAATTGGGTGGGTTGAAACCAGGGGTGTTGCGGGTTCGCCTGCGACGCCAGGGTCGACAGTTGGCGTTTACGGTGACGTTTCATAATGAGGGTCGCCGTACGGTGCAGTGGTGCCGTTGTTAGTTCAACACAGGTAATTGGTATCCGTAGCATCAATAAAATTAGTAACAGATCTAAATGATGACAACCTTCATGTCCGTGTACTGCGACTTGCGTCTACGAAGTACTGGTTTGCCAGCTTTGTCGTATTGAATTGTGCTTCTCTTCCTAAAAGCCTCTATTTCTTCGCTCCGCGTCTTGACGGCTCAATATCACGACGCTGCAGGTGAATGCTTTGCTTTTGCACATTTCTCACTTGTGCCACTCTTCCTCTGGCGCACCCTGCTCTTCAGCCAGCTGCCGCCAGACACCATGACCTCGACGAATGAGACCAGCAACGGCGTAATGGTTTCGGCGAGAAACAGGGCCGCGAAGACCATGGCAACGTAAGAGCAATGAAATTGATGGAGCTCTTGAGCACGTCTCTGTTGAATGCCACGGGTGTCCAAACCAAAAACACGCCAACGATGTTGATGGAGACGATGTTGGTAAACAGCCGCCGGGCACCCTTGGACGTCTGGTAACGCCCGCACGCTATGATGACTTGCTTGAGGCAGACGACGGCGGATAGAACAAGTAGATTATGTAGGCGAATATGGCCATGTCAGACGAGATGAGCTGGAACTTTGGTGCTCGCGGCTCAAGGTGGCCGGTCGTCTTCCGGAGAAGCGGCATGGTTGATGGACTTACAGTACTCTTAGGTGCTGATGATGCCTTCTAGATCGTCTTTGAAGGATCCAACCAGTTGGTCGGCGACGGCCAAGCTTATAGCCTGCGGTATATTTGATATGCCGCTCAGTACGGACTCGAAGCGGCACGTCTTCCGCTGCCACGGCCCAACCCGGCGCGGTAAATGTTTTCACCGTCTTGAGATCGTCGTTAATGGTCTTGTCAGCGTGCCCGAGTCAATCACCTCTTCGCTGCCCCTCCGCGCAGGCAGAAGCCCCATCACGCAGTCGCATATCGCCGACGAGAGCTGCACGCCGACCTACCCGGCCACGGACAGCACAAGCAACATGACGCGGCATCACGACGTCTTGTACACGGTGCGAACGGCAGGCATCACGGCCACGATATGCCCAGTCGCTCTAGGCTCTAGTTGAAGATCAGCCACAGCGAGCATTGCGGACAGCGCTGGAGAAACCGGGGCTGGCGGACCGTGACGATGCCTCCGCCGATGGATAGCTGGTTATAGGAGTACTCGCCGAGGAAGTCGGCGGCCACGCTAAAGACGAGGAATAGGACGAAGAACTCGGTGAGTTGACGCTCGACGTGTTACGGCGGCCTGTGTCGTCATAGGGCTAGTGCGCGGTGCGTGTTGCAGGAGGAGCGGCGGACGGCACCGCGGCCGGAGGAGGTGTGAAAAGGCGGCGTGACAAGAGGCCGGAGCTTAGTTCCAATATTCTAGCCGTTGCGGCTGGCAAGTAGGGAGCAGAGGTCAGTAGCAAGGTGCTCCCATGTTTCCTCAGCAGGACCAAGGATCTTTTGCCCCTGCTTCACCAACGCGGGTGATGATGGGGGATGGGGACCTCGGAGCGCAATTAGTCCTTGTCCTCCTAACAGGTGCATGAGGAAGAGGACGACGGACAACTTTCACCAGGCGGTGGTAGACGCTCTCGTACCAGGCGGCGGATGGCCTCTTCTTCCGTAGGGAGCTCGTGGCTGGGGGTTGTGGGAAAGCACGCTTGAAGAATATCCAAGATGCCGTCATGATCAAATCCCGTTCTCCAGACAGCAGCATAGACGGTCTCTATCTGGCAGTTCCGACGGTTGTAAGGAACAGACCAACTGTTCACATTTTGTCGGCCCGATCCCGCGGGACCTTCCTCAACTGCAGCATCACCAGCTAGCAGAGCAAACGGGTGCACCTTCCAAGATTTTGTAGGCATCCGAGATTGAAAATCCGTTTTAAAAGGATGGCTGTCTTTTCCTTTTTCTTTCTTTCTTTTTCGAATCATCAGCTGTTGACCCAAGCACTCGCCGCCCCATCTTCATTTTTTGCTTTGCTTTTACCATGAACTTCCTCTCTACCTGCCTTGTGGCCGCTGCTGAAATATGGCTTATCATTCAGATCGACCGAAACTCTGGCCCAATCTTTCAGTATCTTGCACCTGTTTTCCCCCTGCTAGATACTCGTTTGAGACAAACCATCCGGAGTCAAGTCGGCGTTGCGGCGCTTGCCATCCTCGGCGCCTTCATCGTGATCGGCACCGTCCTTTCATCTGAGCAGATTGCTTTCAGTCTGAGATTGCCATCGTCTTCCTAGGTGCCATGGAAGGTTGACGACCCCAGTTCTACGACAGCGGGACGGTAGCATTCGCATCCGCTAAGGAGCTCTTACAGAGCCACCTGCTCAGACAAATTTTTGAAACCTTTTCACGGCTTTTCTGCCTTGCGTCATGCTAAAAGATATCTTTCTCCATACAAGGCCCCTTCGCCTATGATCAAATGAGGATCTGATCCGATGATCAAAGAAGGACACGGACTACCGCGTCCCAGCCAAATGAGGACCTTGTCCGATGGCTAAACCAGTCTTGCAGGTCACCATCGTCGCGGTCAGATGAGGATGTGTTCCGACGGCCAAACGCGGGGTCTCTTTTGGCCCAATTTGTCCGCGATAAGGTAAGAGGCAATATATGGTCGCTAATATATCATAGATTTTGTTCTTTCTACCAGGTACGGCTTTCCTGCCATCGCCGATGAGGACCTCAGCCTGGCGCTGTACGACCGACGCCGCGGTTTGACAATAATCGAGCATAGTCGAGTGCCACAATGTCTGCTACTTAGTAACCTTTATGCAAGAGTAAGTCCTCGTTATTATGATGGCTGGTCAGTGTGGCTAACCGCAAGGACTGACCGCAATGCAGTGAGCCTACATCCGTTCACGACAGACCATTTCCGAGGTCATATCACGCCTCTCCAATCCACCAACAAGGTCTCCACGCCAATCGAAAATAATACAAAAGAAACTGTGATGCGAAAGCTATTCTTCATACACCTGGTACATTGCCAAACAATCTACTTCAACATGATTTCGGAATTGAGCCATAGCACTCGCATGGGTACAAATTTACAATACTGTGCTATACAAAGCCCTTTGTCGATACATGTTCAACAATAATTATTCAAATTCCTGCCTCTAGCTCTCCATGTTTCCCGCCCATCTTTATCAAAACATTCTGTAGAGTCAGCGCCAAGGTTATGCGGACTGTTCATTTAATCAGCATACTATGGGTATACACTAAATTGTTGCGGTCTCCGATGAAGCCAAGCCAGATGTTCCCAGCAATAGTAAAACTTGGTCGAAAGGCCGAGAGAACGTCTAGCTTCGTGTAAAAACGCACGGAATAGAGCTGGTTGAGTCCGTTATCATGACATCGCCCGGGGTTCGGCAGCTGACGCAAGCATACCGTGGTCGCAGCGTGGATGCCCTGCGCTTTCTTGCAGAGCTCCCGAAACACCAACAATAGTTATAAAATCCACGCGGAAAGTACCAACTTGACAACAAGAAAAGGAATTTGATCCGGATCTTGAAGAATCGATACCATGGTAAAGTTGAAAAAGGCCGTGAACAGCCAGACCCGTGGCAACATGAGCAGCCACCGCACGCGACGGCTGCAGCGGCGACTCAGAGTTGAAAGCAAGCAGGCTACTATATTGCAGCGTGCAGGATCGTCTTCGCACCATACAAGGTTCGGGATCAGGAGGATCCATATGAAGGCCAATCCGTTGGGGAGAATGGCGGGAAACTCGACATGCGCGTCTTGTACGGGGAGCATGCGAAAGGTGGTCGAGGGGTCAATGTCGAGGAGGTGGAGGCAGAAGGACTCGAGCCGGGCAAAGGGCCGCATCAAGATGGTAATGATGGCAAAAGCCGGTCTGATATAGTGGTCTGTTATCACATCCATGGCGATGCAGCACGAAGATGGCCGTAGTAGCAAGTAGAGAGGTTGGCGAGATCTTGTTCACACTCAGACTGGAGCTTGAATTTTGTTCCTCTTGCGGGTGAGTGCTTGGCTAAGCTTTGGAATATCGGACGCTCCAGTGTACGGGAGATGGTCGAATAAATAGTATTCCGTAAGAAAGTTTTCTACCGAGGAGCCAAAAGGGAAAATTCGGAACAAGAAAAACTATTTTCCTTAGAGGGTGGTGGTCACAAAGGTTATGTGCAGACGTCAAGGCGCCATGTCATTAACAAGTCGGTAAGGTTCTAGGGAAAACTATAAATAAAAAAGAGATGATAATATATTCTATGAGCTATCCAGCGGAGTGGTGGCTAGCCTATGTGTTGTTGTTGCCAGGTGGCACCTACCACTTGGGGATGGCACCGATGCAAAATGCGAGTCGTCGGGCCAATTTCCTTGGGCCAGTGAATCACAGGCTTGTTCCAATAATCACTAGCATGTCGCCCTTGAGTCTCGTCGTTCGCGATAACATATTCCGATTCCTAGCCCTCGGGGCTGTTCCTCAGAACATATGATGGTCGGACAGAGCTGGCCGATGGCAATTTTGCGATGGCGGCGATCGGTCCTGTCCTTGCATTTGTTCTGACAATGCCGGCATCTAGAGATGGCTTGATGCTCTCTCGCTCGTATCTTTTCCACTCCGACGTCGAGCTGCAAAGTTCGCATCTCAAGATTCTGATGCGCGCCGTGCAAGAGAATGCACGTCGCGGGGCCCTACAGCGCCTCTAGTCTGTCCACATTTTTGGTTGCAGAGGCGTAGAAACTTTCCCATGTTCCTTAATGGAGAAAAGACTGGTAAGTTTTCGTAGCCGTCACGAAGCGAGGGAGCGTGCTCTATGAGTACTGCGGTCGTCCAGCGTTCAGAAGGAAGACCGCAGGAACAAGGTTTCCGTTTGCGTAGCGGCCACCATTCCAATGATAGTCTTGGTCTGGTCAGAATCCCATGATCAGTGAGCACATCGAACCTTGATTCCAGCGACATGAAAGGAGTTGACAGGAACACTTTCCTCGGTACTATAACTGACGCGTTCTCTATTGTTCATTTCAAATGTCACCGTAGCGCCACCGACTCGCAAATGTATAATTATTATAAATCTCTCATAGATACTATAAATAAAGCAAAATGACGGCCAGAATCTCTAAGTTAAAGTTCCAACTATTCGACAGGGCCATTGATACCCAAGTCACAGTCTGCCCCTGCGTCCTAGGTAATAGGTGCTCTATTTTGCCAGGACCAGTTCCAGGTAGTGATCAACGACAGACACGACTTGCTCCTCGAAGTTTTTGAACTTGATATTGAATGTTCTGGTCGCCTTGGAGCTGTCAACGGGAAAGGGGCCAGACTCCGGTCTGGGAATCGAGTCAAACTTGAACAACCCCGCTGCATATTCGTCAGGGAATCTGCGCTTGACAATGTCGAATGATTCGGCCCACTCGATAGAGGCAGGGTTGCTGGCGAGATAACTCTGGTGATCGGAAATTGCGGGATCCAGGGCCAGAACGTGCAGCTTGGCAACGTCGTCAATATGCACAGAGCTGCCCGGCAGCGGTATCTGGTGCGGGTGTCCCAGGAGAGGGCCCATGACATTCCCATTGGTGCCCTTGGCAATCTGAGCCACATCGGTCACGGTATCGTCGCGCCCGACGACAAAGGTGGGCAGGATCCTGACGACGGTGAATGCTGGATTATATTTCGCGATGAATTCGTCGGTCGCTTGGAACGAGAGCGCCTTGGAGGCAGAATACGCGACAAAGGCATTTTCAAACGGCCTCGTAATTCCGGTGACGCGATGTTCCTCTGTAGATTGCGTTAGCCTGACCTGGAGATCTTTGAAGAGAGTACGTGCACTTACCATTGATTGGGGCCCTGGATGAGCCATGCGCCGTTGAAGCGATGGATGCCACAGAAGCAGTGATGACAATCTTTTTGATGCCGGCGACTTTTTGCGCCGACTCCAAGATCCCAACGGTGCCTTGGATGGCAGGCTGAATCAAGTCGACCTCGTAATCAGCCGTGTTTGCGCTGGGGATGGGAGACGCAACATGGATGATGTGAGTGACTCCCTTGACAGCCTTGTCGTAGGCGCCAGGGATTGTAATATCAGGAACAATAACGCTTTCTAGCTGCGAAATGTAGGGGGTGATGGGTTTGTAGGACAGGAGCTTTTCGTAGCTTGACTGCGAGCGCACAGCGACGCGGACATTGAAGTTGCCTTGCTCCAGTACACGAATAAGGGTCCTGAATCCGATCATGCCAGTGGCACCAGTAATCTGCTTTTGGTTAGAAAATTCATGGAGAAATTGAAGTAGTGAATAATACACACGAGGAGAGTATCTTTTGTCATCTTGAATAGTTGTGTTGTGCTGGTGGTGGTGTAGACTGAGTGTAGTGGTGGTGTGTAACGAAGCAGCAATTCACTTGAGAAGAGGATTCGCTGAGTCCTTATATATTGTCGAGGATTGCCGTGAATTCGGCAATGATGGAATTTCTAAGCAGAATGTTGTAAATCCAATATTAGAAATGCAATAATACGACGGCTCATCGCAATGAGCTCACTGCTCCACGGGCTGTACTGTAGGTCCGCATAGGTCCGCATAAGTCCGCACTAGCCTCGGCATGCCCACGTAAACATCGCCGTTCGTGCGCATATCTCCGCCTCCGCAGCGGTGGCGTTTCAATATTATCCGTCCCTCATCATCAACCATAATGTCCGCTCGGATTTCTAACGCGCGTTTGAGCTCGCGGTACTCGTGCCTGCAGTGCCGCGAAGCAAAACGGAAATGCGACCGCGTCACACCAGAGTGCACGCTCTGCGCACAGTACGTCATGGGGAAGGAAGCTCTCGATCTTCAGTGACGAAGGCCGATTTTCCAAGAGGAGAATGAGAAACTCTTTTTCTAACCAAGCATTGAACTGCAGGAAAGACATATCCTGCACATTTCCGCAGCGGCGGAAACGCAGACAAGTCCGGCCAAAGCACGTGGAAGCATCGTCATCGTCCTCACCACAGCAGCTGCCGCCACTCAACACACCAAGCCCATCACAGGCCAGCACGCAGAGCCGGGACGCCCTTGAGCCGGGCGCGGCACAGATACAGCAACTACGTCTCGTCACCGAACATTTTCTGGACCCCGACGTATTTCGTCATGCTCAATTACAGCTTCCTGCCCTTCAGATTGACTCGCTGCTGACGGACGACATCACCGCCACCGTAGGCGGCATCGCCGACATTCGGACGATAGCGCAGAAGCACTTCGCCACTGTGCACGTTTGGATGCCAATAGTGTCCAAGGTTCTTTTTTACAAGCTGCTGCTCAAGAGGCTGACCTACAACCGAGCTGAATTGCATCTGCTACTGCTGGCCATGAAGCTCAGCGGCGACGTGGTGACCAAGACGCCACAAACGCAACTCTACGAGGTAACCAAGCAATTTCAACACTCGGCCCAGAATTCGGGCATCTTTTCTCTGCTGGTTCTACAAGCCGGTATCTTCATCGCTTGCTACGAACTGGGACATGGCATTTACCCTGCTGCGTTTATGTCCATTTCGTCGTGCGCACGGTATGCTGCAGCCCTCGGCGTCGACAGTTCTGTCAGTGGGCATGTCGAAGCCAAAATAGAGACTCTCGACTTGGAAGAGTGTCGTCGTGCTTGGTGGACTATTCTTGCCATGGATAGGTTCGAAACCCCTGCTCAATACCGAAATCTCTGCCTGTTCTCTAACACCTCGCTAGATTCATGAGCTTGGCCAATCCGAAACGCCGGCTCGTGACGCCGGACCCCGACACATCCAACTACCTTCCCATTGATGACCAGAACTGGGACAATGGGGTACGATTGCACCTTAACCCTCCGTTTACACCGTTCAAGAGGCCCTTTCTAATCGTATCTGTACAGACTGCTGGACCAGAGGACGCATGCACCCTGGGCTCTGCCAATACCTTGGAAATGGGACGCTTTGCGCGACTTGCGCAGGCTGCTCATTTACTGAGCTTGGTGATTCAAGATGTAGCAGTCGGTGCGGACGACTCGACACAGCTTCGCCGCACGATATTTGCCTTGGTTCACGTGTCTCGCCTCGAAGCCCGCGCGCGCCGACTTGAACTCTGCTCCCAAATGTCGACTTGCTTTAGGTATGATGTTGTGGCAAAAGAGAGTCTTACTACCCTGCTAACAGAATACAAAAATAGTGCCATTCTTCTTCTGGATCACCCTACGTCATTTCACGATGCGACTTCGGAGCAGCACTCTTCGCACCCGGACGCCACGCTCTCCCCAGAGAGCGCATCGGTCCTAAAATCAACGATAGAAATGGCCGAGAGAATTCTTGGAGCACACGAGGCTGTCAAAAATATCATAGCCCCATTCGTTCTGCACGTCAACTACAAAGCCGCGTCCGTATACTTACAGCGGGCTGTTGAGGAGCCGAGCGGCGTGGAGGCTGGCTACGTGGCAACTCTCAAAAAGTCTTTAAAATTATTCTCTCAACGATGGCTTGTGGCTGGTACGTATTTCAGTCCTTTCACATAGCTCCTTTCCACCCATGAGATGGGATGAAGTTGGAACTGACCTGGGTTGTAGATGCTTATTTATCCTTGTTGGAACGTCGGGAGACTATGTTGATGCTCCAGCAGTTTGATCATTGAGATTCGGCATCAAAAAAAAACGAATAATTCAATTTCCCGCCAGCCTCTTACTAGGTTTCTTTCCTCCGATGTGGTGTCGATAGGTTCTCGTAAATATGCTTTGCAGGCCTCGCGGCGCCAAACCTCGGTGCGCCTGGACGTTGGCGAGACGAATCGAAAGAGACAAAGGAATAATTCGAAAGAATGAAATCATCCCCGTATTTCTCTTTCCTTCCTACCGCGTACCCATGATAGTTGCCCCTGCTTGCTCTCTTTCCTGTCCTGGTGAGCCTCTCTTTCGCTTCCTTCTTTCCTTCCTTTCCAAGTACCTACACCTACATATGATAGTTACCCCTCCATAGTTTCTTTCGTTTCCCAATACGCTTATTCCTTACCATGGATCCGCTACCACAGCCGTCAAATACTCCCTTAACCTCGAGCCTTGCTGTTGACCTACAAGATGAGGTCCACACAGCTGGACCTTGCGAAATAAGGGTGCTGAACTCGCCCTTTGAGCCTGCTCAGTCACCCCCTTACGGTTCGCCACCCGAAAGCAGACCTCCTCGTCGCCCAGACGCTTCCGCTCCAGACCACGTAGTTGAAGCTAGCCACAGATTAGCTGAAACTCCAACTCCCAACGAACTTCGAAGATTGCTCAAATACATAAACCGAGACAGATTGGACGTCTGGGTATGTGATGTTTGTCTCTGTCTTCACCCAAATTTGACAGACTCGTCTCCCCTTGACCACTCCCGGGGCAATTCAAAGTGCCCGAGGCGTGGACTTGCCCGGTACGACAACCAAGGATGTACCTCTTTCCAGCCAGTACATGTCCAGCTCGCACTCAAGTATATGAGAAAGATATTCTCACTAAAACCAAACCATTCTCGGCACTTGTATGAGCTAGTGTTATCAGAATTTTGCCGGATTGTCCAAATTGGAGACGTCAGCGTCAGCGTCAGCATGACCCCCTGCATTATAGAAGGACGCTTTCTGGTCTACAGGGATTCTTTCTACTTGGAACCAGCAGTCTTTCCGCGAACATTGAGGTCTAGGATATGCCGTCCCTGTTGCCATCAGCATCTCATGGAGCTCGAGTCTAGCAATCTGACGTCGGATCGACCCACGGTTGTCACTGAACGATCAGACGGTGTCTCGGATGTCCGACCTTCTGAGATCGAGACGGTATGCCAGTGCTGCCGAGCGGAAATATACATCCATCGGTCAGATCAATCAACCTGGACGCGGGTGTGGGAAGATTTCGGTACCGAGCTTTCATCACTACCACTCGACTGCGCATGTCAAGACGACTGTGAAATTTTTAATCGACCTGCGAGCATCCGAGCTTTGTTCGAGCGCCTGCTACCACAGCCTCACATGCAGATATTATACAGATTATGTCGTCCATCACCGCCATTAGGTACCCAGTGAGGACAATGGCAGGCCAAAAGCAGAATGAGTCACAGCACGGGCAGCAAGGCAGCCGACCCGGGGCCGAGCCGCAGAAGAGGAAGTGCTGGACTGTAGGGCTGCATCATGATGCAACTTGGCTTCCCAAGACGGCTTAGCGTACGACACGGAGCTGGGACACAAAGCCAGGACACAAAGCCGGGACACAAAGCCGGGACACAAGACGGCGACAAGGCCCGGTACCAGCTCGCCCTCTCCTTTCAGACATGCCGCTGTCCAATCGATGGTCATATTTACAGAAATCTTTAAACTCGCTTGTTCCCGGGCAACTCGTCCGATGAAAATAGCATTCGTCCACAACACAAAGCGCCGACTACGGGAGTAGCGGAACCTAACTAGCGATCCGAGATGGTTTTCAAGGCGGGGATTTGCTGCAATTAGGCAAAAGGGATCAATCCAAGACCCACCAAACCAATTATTTCCCAATTGGGTTTCTAAAGTTCATGCTTGGCATCTCCATTGTACAGATTATTGAATGGCAGCCCTGCTGCGTACAGCGAAACTCAAAAATCATAGCTTAGTCTTGGCAGCTTTAGACACAATGACGAGTAGCTCTTCATGATTCTTTCTATATCAATGTCCCTTCCATTTCCCCATGGTTGCCAATTCTTCGTTCTTCTCAACTCACCCATCCTCATCATGTCGAGCAATAGTTCAACAGCACCAGAGACACGGCCCTCAGCGGCCCATGTCTCTGGACAATCCAACACACCCATGTCTCGCCCAGCGCACAGCATGAGCAGCGAGGAAACGCTCAAGCAGCTTCGCGCAGACCCGTTGTCGGGCCTGTCGTCGCACGAGGCTGCGCAGCGACTGACCAGCGCCGGCCGCAACGAGCTGGAGCAGAAAAAGGGCGTGCAGCCCGTCAAAATATTCATCGAGCAGATATTCAACGCCATGACCTTGGTATGAAACAGTCCCGTGAATTATTGCTGCCAGGGGCTTTTAATGCAGACTAACATTGCTTTGTTAGGTGCTGCTGCTCGCCCTTGCCGCCAGTTTCGGCATCCGCGCGTGGATCGAGGGTGGTATCCTGGGCGGCATCATCCTCCTCAACATCTTCATCGGCTACGTCCAGACGCTCCAGGCCGAGCGCACCATTGCCTCGCTGGGCACGCTGGGCACGCCGACCTGCAGCGTGTTTCGCGACGGCGCCACCGTCACCGTGCAGACCGCGGAGGTGGTGCCGGGCGATGTGGTCCATCTCAGCACGGGCGATGCCGTGCCGGCGGATATGCGGCTGTTGGACGCCGTCCACCTCGAGGTCGACGAGGCCCTCTTGACGGGCGAAGCCGCGCCCGTGTCCAAGATGCCCGCCCTCGTCCTGGACGAGGACACTGGCCCCGGTGATCGCCTCAATGTCGTCTTCAGCTCCACCACGGTCACAAAAGGTCGTGGGCGCGGCGTCGTCTTTGCGACTGGAATGGGTACGGAAATCGGCCTCATTGCAAGCGCTTTGCAGGGTCACGGCAGGCCTACCCAAGACGCGGGCGCTGCAGATGCCCCGTTCAAGAGAGTCTGGAGAGGTACCGTGGCGGCCTTGGGCGAATTTCTTGGCCTGACGGTGGGCACTCCTTTGCAGAGAAAGCTTGCGCAGCTGTTTCTCGGGCTTTTGGCCTTTGCCATTGTCTGTGCCGTTATTGTTCTCGGCGCAAACGAGTTCAATACGCAGACTGATGTCATTCTCTATGCCGTCACCACAGCCATCGGGACCATTCCGGTCTCTCTTCTTCTGGTACTCACAGTGACAATGGCGGCCGGAACCAAAAAGATGCTGCAACGCCATGTCATTGTACGAAACTTGCAAAGTCTCGAGGCTCTTGGTGGAGTTACTAGTAAGTGGCGTATTCTATCATCTGGACAGCCGCTTACAATCCCACAGATGTCTGCTCTGATAAGACTGGCACCATCACCCAGGGCCGCATGGTTGTGCGCAAAGCTTGGTTACCAGGCTGTGGTACATACTCGGTCGAAACCGGCAATGACGTGTACAATCCAACAGTGGGCCAAGTATCGTTGACAACGACTGAACCGAAGCACATGACTCAAACGGAGGAGAAGCGCACATCCGTGACGACAATCATCCCAACCGAACACGTCACCCAAACACCTGCTCTTCAGTGGTACCTCAACATTGCGTCGCTAGCAAACCTTGCCACTCTCGAGCAGGGCGGTGATGCCGACGAGAAGGAGTCTGGTGAATGGAAGGCCCGTGGCGCACCGACGGAGATTGCGATCGAAGTGTTCGCGTCACGGTTCGGCTGGAACCGGATTCTACTTTCAGAGGGCTCGTCTGCCAAGTGGAACCACGTTGCCGAGTTTCCCTTTGATTCCGATGTTAAGAAGATGTCCGTCGTGTTTCGCGATACAGAATCGAAGCAGACGCACGTCTTCACCAAGGGTGCCGTCGAGCGTGTGCTGGAGATTTGCACCAGAATCGCTTACAACAACGACATGCAGCCGCTGACCGACGAGGCCAAGGACAACATCCTGGCCAACATGGAAGCGCTCGCCAGCCAGGGTCTGCGCGTCCTCGCCCTGGCCCACAAGATCAACGACATCAGCATAACCGAAGCCGACGTTGCCCGTGGCGCAAGCTTGCCACCGCGCGCTACCGTCGAGCACGGCCTCGTGTTTCGCGGGCTGGTCGGCATCTACGACCCGCCGCGCCCCGAGTCGGCGCCGAGCGTGCGGGCCTTTCACGGGGCCGGAATCGCCGTGCACATGCTGACCGGCGACCACCCAGAGACGGCGCGCGCCATTGCCCAAGACGTCGGCATCCTGCCGCCTGAAAAGGAGCTGCACGCGCTAGCTGCCGATGTGGCCGCCTCGCTGTTGATGACGGCGCAGCGCTTCGACGCGCTCTCTGACGAGCAGATGGACGCGCTCCCGCAGCTGCCGCTCGTGGTGGCACGGTGCGCGCCGAGCACCAAGGTGCGCATGATTGAGGCACTGCACCGCCGCGGGCGGTACGTGGCCATGACAGGTGACGGCGTTAATGACAGCCCGAGCCTGAAGCGCGCCGACATTGGCATCGCGATGGGCACCGGCTCCGACGTCGCCAAGGAGTCGTCGGATATTGTCCTCACGGATGACAACTTTGCGTCCATTCTCAACGCCATCGAGGAGGGACGCCGCATCTTTGACAACATCCAAAAGTTCATCCTGCACGTTTTGGCCGCCAATATTGGATTCGTCATCTCGCTGCTCGTCGGCCTCTCGTTCAAGGATCGGCAGGGTGTGTCGGTTTTTCTTCTGTCGCCGGTTGAAATCCTCTGGATGCTTCTCGGTACCGCCGCCTTCTCGGAAACCGGCCTCGGCTTTGAAAAGGCGGTCCCTGATATCTTGAACCGCCCTCCACACAACGTACGTCTTTTATCGTGGTGAAAAAAAAACACACAAAAAAAGTCGAATGACTGACCTGTCTAGCTCCAATACGGCGTCTTTACCCCCGAATTCGTGCTCGACATGGTCGTCTACGGTCTGATCATGGCAGGCTGCGTGCTCGGCTCCTTTACCACGATCCTATTCGGCTTCGACAACGGCAACCTCGGCGTCGACTGCAACAGGAGCTTCTCTCCCGCGTGCGACCAAGTGTTTCGTGCGCGCGCCACCTGCTACGCCACGATGACGTGGATATTCTTGCTCTTTTCCTGGGAACTTATTGATTTTCGCCGATCCTTGTTCTACATGCCCAGCGGCATGCGCGCATGGGCAGCGCACCTCTGGAGCAACAAGTTCCTGTTCTTCTCGGTGACGATCGTCTTCGCCGTCGTCTTCCCGACAATCTACATCCCAGGACTGAATCACGTCGTGTTTTTGCATACTGGCATCACATGGGAGTGGGCAGTCGTGTTCGTCTCGGTCGGTGTGTGGATGGCGGGGACCGAGTCTTGGAAGTGGATGAAGCGAGCCTACTTCCGACGCGCAACACCCAAGACACAGACTGCTCCAGGAGTGAGTGTGGTGTAGGAAATCTCTGATAGAATAGACCAGTGACTGGTCCTGCTTTTGTTTGATATTGGCCCAAAATAGAGGCATGGTCGGGGAACAGTCTCACCTCAACCAAAGTACAGCACATAAAGTTGACTCGTTTCAGCGACTGAAATAGATAATTTCAGGTAATAATGTCACGAGAAACTATGGAGTTCCAACTGTCGATTGTATCTCGGAAGCGAATCGCCCTGTATGTGAGGTTCTGATCAAGTCGAGACGAAGTAATTTGCATTTCAAAATGAGCCATGAAATGGCCTTGGCATTAGTACTTATCAATGAGCCATTGTATGACCCCCAGCCTTGGCGTGTTCTTGGGCACCGATCTCAGCAGCGATAGGACATCTGACACAGTGTGCAGGGAAGCTCGCTCAACCAAGTTCTCAAATAAACTTGCGTACGCCCATTCCGCTTCGTCAAAGACTAGTTGCAGTTTCCTTCCTGCCAAGGAAGCAGCCATCCAAAGCACAAGCAATTTCACCGTCGGCTCGCCATTGAATGCGCCGCATCCCCACAGTCCCGTAACGACGGTGGAATCAGTCGTCAATGGCCACGAGGTAAAGGCCGCGTACGACTTTTGCAGCTCTCTTCTGATATTGTCCTCGAGCAAATCAGGCAACACAGCTTCCTCGCCAGTCGGTGAACTGGCATCGGTTAGATCCATCTCTAGGGCATCCATGAGGAGCAGCCGGCCACCGGTGACAGGCGGGTCGTGCACTGTCCAAGAAATATTCCGACGCTGGCCTTGGAACTGAATCATGGGCTGCGCCGAGTTGATCGAGAGCGCTTCTTCGGCTTTCAACTGGGGCGTGAAAAGAACAGCCACGCACGCCTCGGGAGCAGCGCCAATGTGAAGCTCTTCCTGTGTCGCAGACTGCCCAAAGCCAATGTCCTTGTTCGCGGAGATGACAACGGAGCCGGCCTGACCCAAATTGTCAATATTGTGAAATTTGGTGCTATGTGATTTCGATTTGCCAACGGCGATGGTAGAAAGCCGCTTGTTGTTCCAGCAATATGTGACGGGCTCAGTCACTTGATCGAGTTCCCCAATGGCATCTGCTGACCAGAGGGAGTATTCGACGAGATTAACATCGGTTTCTTTCCGGCTCTGGGTCCCTCGCAGGCGAAAATACGTGAAAATCGACTGAAGGTATGCCGAGACAGCCACGGGATGTCGCTGGTTTGAATCGTACCAGACGCTAAAGTCGTAGAAATCGGGTCGCGGTGGTACAAAGGAGCAAAGAAACTGGTGAGCCAACAGTGATGCACACTGGCTCTGCGACAGACTGAACGTCTGACCAGGTGTCAACTTCGGTATAGTTTCCGCCGCAAAATGGTCTGGCAAAGCGACTGCAAAGCGCAGAATCGAGGGCCAAGTATTTGTAAAGAAAAATGGCTCGTTCTCGACTGCCAGCCGCAAAGAATTGTAGTCGCCAGCCACAGAAGATGACCCACGAAGCGTGATTGAAATGGTTTCGAGCAGATCTAATAATCCGGGCCATGTTGTGATTTCTTGATCCAAGAGTTCCTTCAACAACAGCCAGAACGAAACCAACCCCTCGGGGTCCTCACACTCGTCGCTGAGTATGCTGAACCGGTCAACGACACGATTTGAGTCGGCGCAAGGAAGTACGCATTCGCCGTCCATCATCATCGCGCGACCAGCAGTGTCTTGTAAAGGTATGAAACGCGCCTCATACCATGAATTCCAAGCTGAATATAATGTGGGGTGCATATGACTCAGAAAGGTCAGCCAGCCTAGCGCCTCACACGAGGAGGAAGTTCATATCCGGATCTTTGAGGGTTTGAATCCAACCACGCGCGGCCGTTTCTTCGTCTAGCCCCCAGATGACTGGCAAAGTCTCCATTGCTGTGTAAAGAAACCCCCAAGGACAGTTCACCACGAGGCGCTGCAGTCGATCCATGACCCACTGACGTCGTGTCTCATCTCTTGCTTCGGCGCCAAAAATGAACGTCGGCCAGGTTGTGGCCTTGAAGTTCGGGTCATCATCCGGAACACTCGTGAGATGCTCATATATCTCTTGACTTAAATCCTGGGCAAACTCGGGTCCAACCGCGGCGCCTACTGCTGGCACAGCCCGCAAGATGTAAAGGCAGGCCGCCAGACTGTGTGCAGAGCCTGCATGGATGCGACCTTCGATGGGGATACCATGAAGGTATGATACTATCCTGGCATCATTTGCCCAGGCAGCAATGTCAAAACTGCGTGCCTGGTGTAGTAGTGCCAGCCCAACTGCCTCAATCTCGGCAGGTGATATTGCATCATCTTGCATGTTGGAAAGCTCTGAAGCTCCATGAAGAATTTGCAGAATAGCGGGTGGACAGCACAAGTAGCTGTTGGCAGCAGCACGGTCGAGTATCGCGGGAATTTGCGACGCTTCGAAATATGACTTTGTTTGGAACTTTATAGGCATAAAAGCCGAGCCCAATATGAAATAGCTGGAAGATGTCAGCGGCGGGACTCGAGGTGGCATAAGTGACTCACATGAAGCAGTCAGATAGCATATAATCTCTCAGAACATTATCTGAAGAGGCTGAAGGCTGAAGGAGGGACATTATTCTGCCGGCGCCTTCCAGATGAGCCCTCCAGCCATGCTTCCCAGACTCAATGAGCTCAACATTGATAAAGAAAAGCGCCGCGGCGAGGGCAACGTCGCCGCCGGTCGCCTCAATATCCTGGAGCGCCTCATGCATGAGAATTAGCGCTTTATTCTTTGCGACTAGAGCGTCTTGTAGGGCCTTTTGCGAAGCATTGGTTCTACTAAAAGCAATCATGCGGTTCTCCTTTAGTGAAGGTAGAGGGGCTCTCATGAGGTTGGACATGTGAGCGGCGGAGGCCGCGACAATGATGTATTGTAGCAGCGGATGCGCTTTTGTCAGAGTTAATAGGCTGCGAAAGGGGTTTTCTGAAGGTACATCATGTGAGACCAAGTCCTTGCACACACGGTTTGTGACTGTTTGTTGTCTCAGTAGATGTGCTTTCAATCTTCACACAGGTGGCCACTTACAGTACGCCAAGTAGTAGCGATGGGAATTGCCAAGATCCTGATATAAAGGATCAACGAGGACATATGGCATTTTTGGTTCTGAATGGATTGAAGCAGCTCGTGATCTGACAAGCTGCCATTTCGCCCCGGAGCTATCTTCGCTGCCAGCAGGTGGCGTCAATGAAGACTCTGGACATGGCGACGCCGACATGCAGCCGACATACTTTGGGGGAGCTACAGACGACGCAAATGAATCCATTGACATGCCGACCGCGGCGGCTTCAGCAGGGACGGGAGCGCTGGACGTGCGGCCTGCCAGCTTTCCCCTGCTCGCCACTGCACCAGTCCACCGAAAAAGTTTCCCATATCCGAGGCATTCTTTGCCGGCGTTTGTGCACTTGGTGCACTGTGGATACGAGCGGTCGCACCGTAGCCGCTGCCGCCGGCAGTTGTGGCAGGGTTTTGCGGGAGTCTCAGCCATGGTTCACCGGGACAAAGTCGTTTTTTTGCTGGACGGCGCGCCGGGGGGGGGGGCGAGATTGCAGCAGGAGGGGAACGACAACGCACTCATGCGAGGCGCGCGCGGCTAGGTGGGAAGAATGCGTCACGGAAAACAGCTCAATCTTGGCGCATAGCACGATCAGGATATTTTTCCCGTGATATGTCCCCCAAAGTCAGTCCATGGTGTGACGATGTGCAATTGTGTTTGACCCAGGCTTTGGCATAGACAGCCGCCACCACAAAGAACGCTAGTCCTAATACAGCAGCCAAGACGTCGTTGGCACTTGCCACGGCACCAGCCACAGCATTAGCTCAGCAGTTGCTCTAGCCACATCGCATGAACATTCGTTTGTCGCACGAGACTCAGCGCGTCGCTATCGATTTGCGCCATTACTACATCTTCAATATCCACCGCACATCATCTTAGTATCACCGTAATATTTCAAATAAACAAGCGTTCCTTTTCAAATTGCGGTTTCAGATCTCTCTCGGGCCGTACGCATTGCGGCTCTCGTCGCCTACCGGGTACCGTCGCAGACCGCCAAGGTGTGCATAGTACTCACAAAGCAGACGGCCCAGTTTGTCGTTCCGCACCCAACGAGCCTTTTCCGGAACGCGTTTCATCTTGACATGCATTATTTTCGAGTGAAACTGGGTCGACAATGGCAACGGGTATCATGGTATACGCCCTCTCCCTCCGCACTAGGTCGTCGGCCCAACGCGGCCGCGCAGGTCGAGCCCTTTGGTTCTGCCGTGCCTTGAAACACCTGGCGAGAACTGCAACACGGGACTGAGAGTTTCGCCCTGTACACAAATCCTGATCCCCCGGAAGTCTCGGAAATCTCAATCTATCACGCGCGCCAAGATGCGATCAACAGTGTAGTTTCACATATTCCTGAACTCGGCACTCGAGTGAGGTTCTCCATCAATGCAACAGCTCCAGCCGTCCGCAAGTTAAAGCACGCACAAGCAAGGCAGCAGCATTGATTCTTCTCGGTAGTTTACTGGAAATCTCTAGATTCTCCTCGTACGACAAGAGACGTCGGCGAGGACCGCTATGATGACGGCACGATATTAACGGATTCCCGATTATAAGCGGCGACGGATGCATTGAACTAGGATGTGCAGGCAGGCACACCCCTCCCCCTTCATAACTTTACGAATGATACGTCCCCAAATAGTGTCAATATACTCTTGTGATATTATTTGCTACTTTACGGCCAGCGGTCCCGCCAGAGCCTTGCCGCCTGCCTCTAGAGGAAGAGCTTCGTCATGGCTGTCAATACAGAGGCTTGTAATCTTATTATTTTTTCTTTTTCTTGGTTCCGGCGCTTTGACAAGAGACACAAGTAGTTCTTAATATCCGGCGTGCTGTGGCTGGAGACGTTAATCAACACTGGACGAGCGCCCCCGCTTGGAGCTGCAGCCCGTGATTTTCACATCGGACGAGTCTTGTCTGTCCTGAACAGATCAGCGGGGATGAGAAGAGGAGAAGTGCATGCTGATACCCCCGTTTGTTCTCGACTCCTTCGGGAGCAAGGTTCGGGGGGTTGGGTCCTACCAGTTTGGGATTGCACCCGCCCTCCTCTATTGTGACACGATAGTCGGCATATCCTGGAGAGGGGCACGCGGTATTCCGGATGGAGGAGTCCCTCTCATTTTAAGTGTAGGCGTGCAGGTATCAGATCACCGCATCCCGGGCTCCAATCCCTCTGCAGGACTTTTGACCAAGGTGGCGTTGCTTGTGGGATTACCAGAGTACTACTGCGCTCCCTTGCGCCTTGCATGGTTTCCTCGCAAATGTGCTGCCACACAACCTGAAGATCTGTGCAAAGTATACCGAGGAGAAGTATCACCACTTTGATGGTTTATCAGCATGTATGTACACGTTACCGTCGCAGGGGATGCGAAAGAGGAACGGTTGGACGTGTCCTAGGCAGCTTGGGCCAGTAGTTCGTGTGCCAGGGAAGGTGTGGACGTAACGTCGTAAATGCCTCCCGACAACCAGCTTTACAGTGCCTGGGCAAGGAGTCCTTATGCTTATGCCACTCTCGTGTGTCCAACGTGGATATGACTCGGCACTGGTTGCGCTGTTCGGCAAGCCACGAACGACGTCAAGTTTCCCATTAATAGCTCAAAAACAACAGAGAGATAGGTTTGAGAGAATTTAATGTCACGTCAATAGTGCCATTCCGTGGCGTCGTCATTTTCCGGGTCTTTGTTATCTCTCCAAATGACTTACTATTACTAGGAGACTAAATGGTTCTAGTAATCACGGATACCTGGCCAAGGCGTACTATACCTTGCATTTCTGAAAGACTCAATAGTTTTCGAAATAATAAGATGACAAGTAACTTGGGGAAAATTGGAGAGCGGCTGCCAGGTGGACATGCGCGGTGACAGCTGCTGCTGTCGACTTCGGATCAACATCAAACTTGCCAGGCAGGGGAATATCGCGTCGGCCACAAAGCCTAAAGGGGACGAGAAAGAAGGACTATGAGTTTTATGACATCCATACAACGAAATGGGTAATGCTGGTGGTTTCCACTCCGGGAGTGGAAGAGGTTACGCGTGAAATGGCCCCAGCTACAAGGGAGCTCATACGAAGCAACCTTTTGCGTTGATGGGAGGTAGGATGAGAGCGTGCGCATATTATTGCTCTCGACTCTCTCCAGGCCGATGGGTAGGGTGTGCGTGCCGTCTGACAAGTTGTGATTGTCGGTGCAAGCAATTTATTCCACGAGATCGCATGGGCCGATTCGCAAAGGTCCTTACGAATGGCTTATGAGGCGTGGCCCAGCCCCTCATCTCTGGACCTAGCAAAAATCCGCAAGTTGTGTCAATATGGGGCTTGCAGCTCGTGATCTCAAGGCAAACAAGCTCGAGCCGGCGATGCAAATGGGATGCAAGGAGGGCAGGTGGATGTCCACCTGAGAATGCGGGTGCACAGTACGCAGATAAATTACATATTATTGTCCCCCGGAAATTAACTGCAGGAGTAGATGATTTAACTCTCGGATCAGCTTGACAACGCGATGAGGGGGTACATACATAGTCCAGTTAGTTATTGGGAGGGACTGGAAGCTGATCCCCCGACAAAGCCGGCCATGGTGCGCATGAATGGTCTCCGTGTGTCGAGTTTTACGGCTGGCTTGGCGGTCACCGGGCGTAGAAAAGGTCGAGAATGGCTACGTGGTATGGAATTACGAGTTCTGCCGCATTTGACGTCCCAAATTACCGGGACACTACATGATGGCGACATTGACACTCGAGACGAGGCAAACCAGGGGGGGCCAGGTTTCCGGCGTCGAGCCCAGGATTGCCAGCGAAACGAGGCGAGCACTTGACAAACATTGCTCAATAGACCCCTTCCTATGACTGGGTACCAGGGCCGGTATTTTTCAAATGAGACTTACATAACAGGCTTCTTCAGCACACGTGGAGCGTGGCATATAGTCCCAGGAAGCTATAATGGTTTTCAGAGGAGCGGCGCCAAGCACGAAACGAATGAAATGGACATAATTATCGCCTTCTTAATTAATGATACTGATAAGAGATCCGTCAACCAGTGGAGTCTATTTGAAGTTGAAGGGATTTTGGGCGCGTTCTTTCGCAGAGTCGGCGATCTGATGGGACTTGTACATGATGCCACGGGGGGTTGCTGCTTCATCGGCAGAAGCGAGGCGAGGCATGAGCCGTCAAGATGCCGCCTGCATGAGTGCTTTAAGCTGCGGAATATGTCTTCCGAGAATGCACCAGTCGTAATAGACAAAGGACCGGAGGCTTTGGGGGATTTGCCAGAGGCATAGTATACCGGAGACGGGCATGATGTGCGGACGCCGTGTCATGGTCACGCAGGGGCGCAGCAGATAAGGGTCGGTGATTTTCCTTGGTTTGGTTCAAGCACATCTCACCCATTCAGGAGACAAGACGCCCAGCTAGAGATACTACATTACACAAAAGGCGACTTTGCACGAATAATGTGGTGGCCACTATGGGTTGTTATAGGCACGCCTCGTGAGCAATGTGGTTAGTGTACCCAGCCGGAGGCTTCTACATGATGTTAGCGAGCCATAGGTACGAATAAGAACGAGGCCAGGAAGGGGAAAAAAAGCAAAATAAAACAGACACAAACAAGACAAGGGAACGGAAACGCGAGGCTAAGAATCATGTCTCAGCCCAACGGTCGTCGCTGCGAACAGGTCACCTTTTTTTCTGCAGATTGGTGGACAAGCCCTGAGGCAAAAAAGGGTCTCAGTAACCGACCCCCACGACGCTCTGCCGTTGAACGGGCCTAATAAATGGCTAAATGGTCCTCGGCTGGGCCAAGACAGACAAAATGTGTTGAACAGTCGAGTCTCACCACTGTAGCTACAGGGGAATCTAGGGGGCGTGTGCCCTGCAGGATTTACAGGCCAAGTGCGCTGTATTTCAGGAGGTCAGTCACAAGGGGTAAATGTTCAACGAATTATTACTGCAAAGACGTATTTATGGGCAGCACGAGTACCGAGAGTCCATTCTTGTCATCGTGTCTTTATCGATTTTTTCTTTCTTTTTCCTTTCCTTTTTCCTTTTTTGCTTTTATTAACTTTGCCACGTTCCTGTCATGTCAAGCCGCCCCCTCTCCCGCTGTTGCTTGGGTGCCATGTGCAACTCATCTCCACTCACCGCATGGGCCGGCCGCCATTCCTCTCCCACCATCCGTACCAAAGCCAATTGTCTTTACTAGGAATGTCAGTCTGGTAAAGGGAGGGGGGAAGGTATTGCGCCAGCGTTGATCATCGCCCCCGTTACTGCTGCGGATCTGCTGCACTTGCGCTCCGTCCGGATCCCCGTCTTTTGGTGCATCTTGTCGTGCACGGCCAAAGGCATGGTTACACTCGCAACTTGGCTGTCTGTCATGGTCTTGGACCAGTGGTTTCTCCTCTTTCTTTCTCGGGCCCGAGTCCATCTCGGGACGTACAAAAAGTCCCGGCCAGCCCTACATACATGCCTGCACTCCTCCCTCCCCCCAACAAAGGGCCGTCCGTGCTGGGAGCGCCTGGACCGTTTCTCGGTAGCCACACGGATGCTCTGCAACAAACGTGCTGCCAGTGCGCCCGCACCCTCTTTCTTATAACAAGCTCGTGTAGCAAATATATTCTCCGTACGGATAACTGATGAAAAGCGTTCGGACGAGTACCGAGTATGCGGGCCAAATAGATAGATGCAGGCCTCCAAAGCCATTGCTTAGCTGCATCCCGTTCTGTGTCAAATAGAAAGAGCTTACGGTGATGTGAAAACTGGATAAAGACAAGCCACGTGCTGCAACTCGCCTGCGGCCGGCGGATGACGGCTATATGCATCGATGCCCAGTGCCGGCTGTCGTTGGCCTGCTGCACGGTCTTGGCCTTCAAGGCTACCACCTCCCTAGGAGGCTCGCAGGAAGTAATCTCCCCTCCAGGATTTTCATATGTAAAAATTAAAATTCCCGTGATTTCAATTCCCCATCAACGGACATCACGAGTCACATACCCATCCCGGCTCTTAACACTACGGTATACGATGGCGATGCCCTATCATAGTCATCAAATAGCAAAAGAAGCATGTCACCGTTTCCACAGTCTTCTCGAACGCAATTCCAGAAAACTCCGATCCCTCTTGGAACTTTCCAGGGCTTGTCCTGGACTTTAAAAGACAAGCCTCTCTCCGCCCTCAAAAATGACACATCCTTTTCTCCGCCGCCGCCGCCGCCGCGACACGACCCCTGAACTTGTGCCTCCTCGTTTATTGGGATGCGACCACGGGAGCTTTTTCCCGCTCGCCTTTTTCAACAGGTATCCTCTTCTACTCCGCGTTTTTCCCTCAGGAAAACATGCCGGGCATGGGACCCCCTTGCCAGTTATCTGTCATAATTGACATGGTTTGCCACTTTGTATGAAAAAAGTCAAAGTGCCCATCGCATTGACTCCAAGTCGACATGAAGGGACCTTTCTCTGCTTCGCGTTTCAGGCGAGACCCCAATATTTCAGGAACAGTCACCGTGGTTGTGTTTTCATAACATGCTGGACATGGGAAATTCCGAAAAGAGACAGCACAGTTATGCGATTGCTTGACGGTTGCAACCACCACCTCGACATTGATGACAGTTCTACCCAGCTCTTCTGGCAGGGCATTCCTTGTTGCACATCTAAAATATGCCCCAGGATATATACCGGCTAGATAGAGTGTATGAAAATCAAACAACGCTTTACGAAAAAGAGAAGTGCCTCTTTTTTGAGCAAGACACAATAAATATCGCGGCTCATTAAGGGACGACGTCAGACTTGAGGTCTGCCAGCAATCTCGGGTTACCACGGCTTTGTCTGCCACTGGTTACCGCAGGAACTAATTTGTATTCCAGTATGCATGTTCGGCTCACCGAGAACCTGGCCAACCAAAGGTTCTCTGCTTAAGCAAGTATGAAGGAGCAGCCAAGTAGTAGGTGTCCGACGTCGTCGTTGGCAATAAAAAAAGTCGGCTTCGAGGCGTGTACCCACGCCCAATGAGCAAAACCAATAGTACAGTATCGAAAGAGAGTTTGAAGGTCAAGTAAAACCACACCGTGACAGTCGCAACTGTCAGCAGGAGCGGCCTCGGGTCTCTCCGTGCATCACTTGCATCGCGGGTTATGCTCGAGTCATTCATATCGAGGAACCTGATCTACAATCGTAATGATTTTGTGACGATTTGTGCGAAGGTTCTTGATGACACATGAGAAAACAAGCTCATGCGCATTAAAGGCTGTCGAGAGATCTGACGCCATACCGGCTTCTTTGCCCCCGATGACGGGGTTGGCCAAGTGCGAGGTGAAACGCGTTGCATCTTCTAGCAGACATTGTTACCAGCCACTCGTAAAGGTGGCTGGAAGGGTATTAGTGCTTCTTGGGTGACGATGAACAAACTCAGACCCTGTTTGATATTCTTCTGTCTCGTGCCTCGGATTGGCTTGCTCCTCCACGGAGAGGGTGGCAGCCGATGTGCGCCGCTTAACATGGCTCCCGCAACCCAGGTGACGCAGAGAGGTCTAAAAAGATGGGTACTAGATTGCCAGAGAAGGGGATTGCCGGCGATCCTCCCGGTTTTACTGATGGATGATGACTGTTGATCACATTGCCACTGGCCGAGCATCTTCAATGGCAAGCCCAACTACTAGTACATAGTCGCCTGGCCGGCACACGGCGGAGGGAATGACCAAAGGATGACACTGGGAATGCTCTAGAGCCGATTATCATTTATTAGACTGAGTTACTTTTCAAGTCACAACGCCCGAAATGCAACGTCGCGCCAACGGCCCGTCAAAAAAATAAAATAAAGACCAAGCCCAGACTGGTTACTCTTGTTGAGCCGTACGGACCACTAGTTAGTTCGAGCAAGAACCAACTTGGCATTTTGACCAATCCCTGTCGCCAGCCTCTTTTTAGCCAAGCCTTGCCTCCCCACTGCGATGGCACATAGTAGCTAATAAATAAACTGAGACCCTTGCCTGACCAGCTGAGAGATGTTGGGGGTGGTGAGTGGTGAGGGTCTCTCTTGGGCCGGCTCTAGCGCGTAGGCAGAATTACAAAAAGAGGATTTCTGTTGTTGTTGTTGTTGTCGTTCTGGTTTGCGGAAAGGCTACGAGCCGAAACCGATCGAGCAGCTTTGACGGTCAGGGCGAGGAACGAGTCGCATATTGTCTTGACAAAGAGCGTGATAGGGGGCCGTCCGTGACCAAATCTGCGGAGGGATGCGGCACGTATAGTGAAAAGAGGGCTAGTGGCTCGGAGCATTACCTTGCATGGATCTGCTACTCTAATGCTTCACCAGCAAATTGATCTCCCTATGACAATTATACTCCGACTCGAAGATCGTCTCAAGTTCTGTCACCAGGGGCCACCCAGGTCCCACCGCAAAGAATTCTTTTTTTGAGGGGGGGAGGGGGGGGTGGCCTCGGTCTGTCAAGTGGGCAGTGGCTGCTGTCTGCAAAGAAGCAAGGAAAAATAAAACAAAGAAAAGACGAAGAAGCTTGGTGCATGAGCAAACTATCCAAGACGAGACGGGCATGGGCGGCAAGACGATGGCTTCCGGTGTCGAGTTGGTTACAGTTTGCAGGTTCCGAGGTTTTGTCGAGAAAGGCTTACTGTGTACTGCGTAATTTGTACAAATTAATTTGTACTGTGTTCTCCGTACGAGTATGCGGACCAGTCATGTTCTAGCCAGGTTCTGGTGGCAATGGGAACATTGGCGGCGGCGTGCTTAGCGCGGGTTGACACGTTTTTTGTATCCGTATAATGGAATGCGTTGATATATTTATAAAAAGTGACAGCGACTGTGCGTTAGTGATATAAGCAGTAGTTTGTATGTAGATACATCCATGGCTCCGTACAATGGAACCGACTAGCTGGCTTTGCTGGGGCCGTGTGGCTGATTGAATGGTGGACGTTTTTGGGCAGGGAGCCGGCTCGGGGCTGCTGTCAAAGAAAGCAATGGCGCCCAGTACGGATAACTTATAACTTAGTAGACTTAGTACATATCAGTACGTGCCGAATCCTTGGGAAGCGAGGTACCCAAGACAACCTTGCCGTCGAGAGGCAATCGCCCCATTTCGCACCGGATTAGCCCACAAACAGGCCCTGTCTCCCTGTCTGCCATGCATGCACGCTTCGTGCTTGGTGGCCCACCCAGCGATCCGCGATAGCTTTTGCTTGTCCCTCACACATCCTCATCCCTCATCCATCATCCATCATCCATCATCCATCTTCCATCCACACACACACACAACACACGCACCACACCCGTGTCAGTCCGCGGCCTGCTCGACCCCCCCTCCCAGTGCCGTGCCACACACCCCTCCCCTCCTCAGGCAAAACCGCAAAAGCCCTTGATTCCACTCCCTAGCAGATCCACCACAACGCCATCAACGTTATGCCAAAGTCCCGTTCTGTCCCCGTCTGTCCCCGTCATTGTCATTACCGCCACACCCCTCGACCTCACAAGCAGCCAACGCCGTACCATAGGCTCAACTCACACTCACCACCACCACCATGCCAGTTGCTCGATCAATGGAGACGCCACTGGGGCTCTTTTGCCATAGAGGCGTTTACCCATATAAACGCCAGTATGGGTACCAGGGCCCCAGAATACCGCAGACGCCCCTCCAAATCCCCTCCCTCATTTCTTCGTCACAAGATGGTTTGGGTTCCTGCTGCACTTTTCCATCAACCAAAAATCCTCCTCCAAGCTCAATAACACAGGGTTCAGATACCATCCGAGCACCACAGTCATTTGCTCGCCTCCAATCGCAACGTCTCACAGATCATTCAATCCACTGACCCTCCCGATCTGATATTCGACACCTCCCCACACACTCCTCTACTCTACTTGAGCCAAGGCTGCACTGCCAGTACACCCCGTCATATATATACCTCCCTGACCCCCCCTCTCCAGAGAAACGACACATCAACCGCCTGGCCTCAACTTAACACTTGCTTTCCTTTACACCACCCGAGACAGTATTCACGATACCATACTCTTACTCGTCATCCTACCAATTCACTCCATCTCGTCTACTGAGCCTCGCGAGACACCTTCCTTCTCATTGTCTTATATACACCTTGTACAAGCATAGTGTTGACAAGTATCTGGCACCAAGTTCGACCAACCACAACTCCAACCACGCCGCCAACAATGGCAGTATCCCTCGCCTACCCGCCAACAAGCAGCCAATTCTATAATCGTCCTCCACGACCTCCTCCTTCGCCCCCAATGGACGACTCTCGCTGCTCTCTTCCTTCTATTTCCAACCTGCTGGGTCTTGCCGACGCTGGATCGCCCACAGACCCCTCACCAACATCATACCGTGCATCTCCTCCATCAGAAGGTACAGATGCATTCATGCAATGTTTTGCCGTGCATCAAGCTAATCGAGATTCAGCATCCCTTTCATTCCCCCATGGGCGAAGCAGGCGAGAATCGGGAAGCTTTGGTAGCCGCCCAGGGTCAAGACACTCTGGGGCATTCCAGCATCGCCGCGGCCTCCCACCTACGCCGCCATTGAGTACAGACAACGCCTATGACAACTACAACTCGCCATCAAGCCAAGGAAGAGGACATTTTCCGTTTGACTCAAATTCATCCAATCGCTTTCACGAAACAACACCGCCTCTGGAGCCGGAAACCCGACATCAACTACAACGCCAAACCCACACCCCGCGGTTGTCGATTCCCGTACCGCCACAGCGCTTTGTCCATGCACAGACGATGCCTCCACAGACGGCTTCCAACTATTACGGCGGCCCTGCTCATCCTTTGGTGCTTGCTCCGGGGCAGCCTGGTCCTCACTACGGTCAGCAGGCACTGCCACAATCCTTTCCACCGCAGCCCTTGTCGGAGAGTCAGCAATTGTGGCAGCACCACCATTATCTGCACCCATCCCAGAGCAGCGTCTACCCACAGAGCCAAGACAAATACCTCTGCCCGACGTGCAGCAAGGCTTTTAGTCGACCAAGCAGTCTGCGAATCCATAGTCACTCGCATACCGGCGAGAAGCCATACAAGTGCGCGCATCCGGGATGCGGCAAGGCATTCAGCGTCCGCAGCAACATGAAGCGTCATGAACGAGGCTGCCACTCTGCAAGCGCCATGGGAAGTCGAACGATGATCTAGGCTGGGGAATGCAATTAGTTGATGCGGCACAGGCAACGCCAGCCTGCATCATAATGCCACAGGTGTGGTGGGTGGAATAGACCGTGCGGGGGGTCGAAGGAGGGTACATGCACAGACATTACTCGTTCATTTTCCTTGGGTTTCTTGGTTGGCGAGGCGTTTGGGGGGATGAACTGCATTACTAATTGTACATGACTTGGGAACTTTTTTTTTTACAAAACGGCTGTTTCGAACGTGGGCTATTGGTTAAAATAGCCATTGTTTGTTTACTGCTCTCTAGGGACTTTGGTGGGAAAAGGAAATGTACACTCAAAATGGTCAAGGAACAATTTGAAGGGGAAATTTTATTATAGATCAACAACAGGGAGCAACAATGGAGTACTTGCATGAACACATGATGGTCAGACTGTGAGAGCTTGCATTCAACACATGATGGTCAGACGGTACTCGGGGAACTCGGCGAGGTATCACCAGATATGTATGTATCCACACGGGACAAGGTCATCTGTACATGGCAGAACAATGGGCAACTGACATGGGATTACAAGTCTTTTGATCAGCACGTTGAAAAAAGCGGTCTCTCAATGATGTTCGGAATGGAATGACTAGGGACAGAGGCTTTTGGGAGGCGAAAACTGGTTCCGCCAAGAACCAGCATTCTGGGTCTATCGGAATTTGGTTGGGCCTCTCAAGGGTGTCACCGGGGTTAACTGACGGGATGCCGATGGAGCGCCGAGTATCCGGTACATTATGATGAATAATAATAGCAAGTCGGTTTATAGACTGCATACAAGTGCCAGCGATAACAAACCCAGCAAAAACACTCGTTTTCCTTGCACCGGGGACTTGCCAAGGAGGTCAAAGTGGAAACACGCTCGATCGTAAGAGTAGTTGTGAACTAGTAGAGTAGCAGTGCAGGGCCAATGCGAATCATGCAGCAACGTTGTGTTTTTAATGCAAATGGCCATGATGATGTGGTACGAATAAATACAAGAGTTTGTATTTGGGCCATGTATTGAACAAGGCCACGCCCTCCCTCCCGCCTTGTTTCCATCGAACAAGGCGAGCGCGGTTTGTGGGTGGCTGGCCGGCAGATGATGTTCTTTCAGTTGGGGTTTTTTTTTTCTGGAATGGATGGCTCCTCTTTTTTTTTTGGTCGTCGATTTATCAATTCACTCAAGTTGTTGCGAGAATGGACGGGGGGGGGCCGCTTGCTCCATGGGGAAACAACCACCCATTCTCTTTTGGCGCAGTGATCGGCGGGCCAGCGGAAGGGGTGGGTTGCCTTTTTGCAGTGCGGAAGAAGGGCCAGAAATAAATACACATTGAAGCTAGTGGATATTTTTTATTTTATTTTTTTATTTTTCGTTTTGTGACCTGTCCTGAAAGCTTTCAACAACCGCAGGGAGGGGGGCTGATGCTCACCGACGATCATTGTTTCTAATTCTGATTTGTTGGCTGGCGATCACAGCGACAAACCCTGTCTCTTGTCTCAAACGAGTCGCTCTCTTGAATTTTTTGTTCAAAATGGTGTAACTAGGAGACGGAAACAACGCTCAGGGCGCCGCCAACACAGTCCCGGCATTGCACCGTACCCCCCCAGCTCAAGTTGTCAATAGGTAAAAAAAACGAGTCCAATGTTGCTGGTAATACGTGGATGTTTCGGGCAAGCGCAAAACCCAATTTGGAAAAGAAACGGCGCTCATGTTGGCAGACAATGGTTGAAACACCCAGCAGCTCCTCGACGTCGAAGACCTGGAGCTCTGTGCTTTCATCTGGTCTCTCATCTTGACTATACTTTTTTCTTTTTTTGCCCTCGTGATGACCACGGACTCTTTGTCTCTCCCAGTTGATATTCCCGAAACGATTAGCTAACTACCCGCGGACTTGTACCCTCGTCAGGCATCGCCGCCTTGTTGCTCCCATATGTGGGTGGATCGGGTGACCGGCCGGCGCCGGTCGAAAGCGGGCTCCATCTCGGAGCGCGCCAACTTCGGCGCTTTATCGCTTTGGATTTTGCGACGGGGATTTGTCAGAAAAAGCGTAGTTTGTAGGAGTGGTGGCTGTCAGCCTTGCCCCGTGAAGAATGTTTTCCCCCCGAGTAAGTGTTGTTTGCTCCTCAATAGCATGAAAAGGCAAAAGGGAAAAATATGATCAGACATGCTTGGAAGCGCCAAACGCATAATGACGTTTGACACGAACAGAGGGGGGTCGATTATCGCGGCGCTCCGTAATAGTGGGTAGCATTTACCTTGATGAAGCTCTCCCTTGTTGAAACGAATTACAGGAAGGGGGAGCAGGGAAAAGGTTATTATTATTAAACCTGGGCGAGTAATGCTGTCAGATTGACAGCACATCGAATCGAAAGAGGGTAGCAGATAATCAGGACCCGATAATAGTGCCTTAGTCTGTAGCTTAAATTCTTTTCTGTTCGAGGAGCAAAAGTCGATACGTCGTTCACTTCAATAGCCGACGGGGTTAGCAAAGGGTTATTTGATCGTGGCTGGCCGTCGCCGAGAAGACATGGGGCTCTCCCCGGGGATCACCACGGCAAGTTGTACATGTATGGAATCCTCTGGATGACTTCTTCAGACTATGCTGGGGGGTTTACATGCAACTCGACAAGCGCATCGTTGCCCCCCTGCAAGTCGTGAACCAAGATGCCAGTTCGGAAGCCCCCAAGTCACAGAGACTAGCTGTATGCAATGCAGAGCACACTCGGCTAAAAGCAAAACTCGTTGCTATTTTTCGCGAATTGGCAGCGAATTGCTTGCAGAGAAACGCAGGGCACGCAAATGCACAAGAGCCCAGCTTCAACCCGTCGTCGCCTAATATTCAATTGCCATCTGGCGCGGTAATAAACTCAAAAAAAAAAAAGGGCGGCGGTTCCCACGTTTCCCCCCCGGGAACGGCCTGATTTTTCGTCACTATATCCTGATTTAAACGTCGGCAACGCATGAACCCTCGCCCAAAGAAGTATCACCAAGGGACTGGCGGGCGCACCCCCACCTTATCCCCTGCGGGCGGTAGACTGGGTATGCTATTGAACTTTGGGGCTTGTTTTTCTTCTTCAATAGATGGGAACAATGGGCAAATAAAGAGGCGTTATGCCGCGGGCGCGGGCGCTCGCTGGGGTCTTTGTGGGCTGGGGAGCCCACAGTATCCGTGCTGAACCCGGTGCAGTAGGCGAGCAACTGCTTTTTTTTGTGTCCTCTTTGCTGGGACAAGGTTAGGCGAATTTCGTGGGATGGATCCAGACTTGACGACGGGCTCAGTCTGCATCGTGAAGAAAGAACAAGGCGGGCTGATGGCGGGAAACGTGTCGGGCAACAACGGACCTTGTCTGAAATGTGTTGCCAAATGACCTCATTCTAGGGGACCGGCAAAGAGCGAAGTTTGTCGGCGACGTCGAACAACTCCCACCCAGGGCTGTTGAAGCAGTCAGTTAGGTTGGAGCACGCATACACGGCGTCCAAGCAGATGAGCTGGCAATCCAGCGTCACGAGTCGTGTCGCGCCCCCTCCCGCCAGCAATGGTTTTCTCGTTTTGGTTTCAGTTTTTGGTCCTGCCACTTATTCCATGAACCATGGTACTACATTCAGCAGGCGCGCCAACAAGGACATGAATAATTCACACAAGAGACTCGTTACCGAGAAAAGTGACGTATTATATCTTCTGCCTCGGGTGTGGTTCACGCTGGCATCTCATCACTGTTGCCTCCCCCGCCTTGGCGCCCATTGGCTGATTCGCTGGACGGGCAGCAGGGCACCCCTGATGTCGCTCCTGGTGATCTGTTGCATGGGCTTCGGTTGGACCGGGTTTCACTGACGTTTCTTACGTTATTCCAGTTTTTGGAGGTGGCTTCAGCCTCAGAAAACAACGGTGCCTGTAGTTACATACGCACGTGGGCCAGCGGGCAAAATGGTCCTGGCCAGGTGTTTGAGAGGACTTTGCCTCTGTACTAGTTATTTTCTTGGTTTCTTTGCGCGTCTCTAGAGTGCAGCGTTGATGCTATCGCATACAGACCGCGTTGCCTGATTCAGCATATCCATCAGCTGTTTAACTAAGATACTTGACCATGATAAGCTGGGTTTTGCAAAGAATGATAGAGAAATAATCAGTATTAGTCGGGGCGTAAACAGTATCGCCAGCATACTCTTATCCACAGAACCACCCAATGCCATGCTTGAGATTTCCAAGCGGAGGCCTCTACATGCACCACGATACAACATCCCCATGAACCACACTCTATCTGTCAGCGACTTCTGTAGCGATCCTCTTGGGCCATATGTATGCACCCAAGAGGGTAACCTGTGCGTGGGCCATCGGGCGCAGATGGGAAGGGGGGGGGCGGCAGCTGAAGCAGTAAGCGCGGGTCTGGTCCGGTCCGGGTTGGTTGCGAGAGAGAGAGATGAAAGGTTACGTTGAAAGACCGATTGGCAGCAGATGGCAGATGTTCGCGGTAGATGATTTGCACGCCATAATTTAAACACACCCTCGTTGTCGCTCAACCCCCCCTACCGCTAAAACATGTCACTGGCGAACACCGAACACCCATGGCGGAAGGCAACGGGCTGACCTGTCACCGGCTCGATAGACATTGAGTTCCGCCATCACATCTCCCCCGCTGCGCCATCGTGTTCTCCTGAGCACCATGTACAGATATCGCGTCGTGGGCGTGCCATGGATCCCCAAAGGCCTTGCCCCAATCTTGCTGCGAAAATGGCCTGACTTTACCAGCGCCATTCTCCATGCACTGGCTCTCTCTCTCTCTTATTTTTCTTTAATTATGCTGCAATTTCTGCGGCTTCTTCCGGAGCATGGGTATCTATTGTCGTCATGATCAATAGCTTTCTCGGCGTTTCAACGGAACTGGGGCCCGTTCCTGAGTGGGCGGCGGCCCTATTCTCCGGTAGCCTCTTTTTTCTTTTTTTTCCCTCTTGACTTGGTGCCAACAAAGGGGCCCTGGTTCGGTATATTCAACCCACTACCCGTACGCAGGCTAGCAAGATTCGGCTGATGATCCCTGCGGTTTTGCTTTGTGGACGCAAGTACCTACGAGGATTATCCCACCGGGGTACCGAAAATAGAGGAGGGCTTGTTAATTATTGATGACGATCCCTTTTTTTCTTCTGACCGTACCGGAGCGGTAGCACGGGCAAAGGATACCTTGACCGATCGAGTATGACTATACGAGTGGATTTCAGCCGGACAGTAGTTACTGGAATTGGCAAGTCTACTAAGGGCCATGACGGCAACATTTTGGGGCCGCTACAACCAGTTCCCGTTTTCCCCATTGTCGTTTTGACCTAGCTCGCCCGTCATGTCTCACTATCAAGGACGAGAAACGGAGCTGTTTGGTTAGGTTTGCGGTCCATGTCCAAGCGCAGGGCTGAGGGAAAAACGAACAAGCACTCGAGTTTACTAGTTATTGCGAAGGGGGTGATGAAACTCTTCTGTGTCAGTTAGCGAAAACGTGGCAGCCACCTTGTGCTAGCAAGGCTAGCAAGGGAGCTGCACATCCATGATCCAGCAGGGACAGGGAGGGGTGCGAGGCGCGGAGCAATTGCCATTCTCTTGCCATTTGCCATTTTACGAATTACCAGTATTCTCCTTTCAGTCTGGCATTCCGCACGCAGTATGGGGCAGGCGCCACCCAAATTGTCGTCGCTGTCGTGTTCAACCCTCGAAGGGCAGCGGCCCAATTCCATCTTGCGAGCGCACGTACGCTGCATAGTTATTATTGTTACCATTATTCCTAAAATCGCCGGTAGTGGAACTCAGGCCATGTGCCAACGCACAACCTGTACGTATAGCGTGACTTGTGGTAATCGGCAGGACGTGCGCCATCTCACCGGAAAGACACGTCGTGGAGCGGGACATGCGTGAGATGTGTCGATAGGGATGTGAATAGGGACGCGGGCGAGATACTGAGTCGAGACTCGAGAGCCCCCATGAATGAATCAACGCGACATTTGTTTCACACGCTAGTTGCGTTCATGGACACTTGTTTGAGTTCGACACAATAGTTGCAGCAAATCGACATGAGAAGAATAAAGAGCAGATCATCTCGGGACGCTTGAGGATACGCCCCACCGATTTCCATTCTTTTTCGGTCCCAATGGAACAAATTTAGAAGCTCTCCCGAATTATGCGAATATACTAGTTATTAGTTAGTTACGGGCTCCATGCTGCCCACCTAGTTACATAGGTAGCCTTCACAGCCCCGATGACGGCGACCTTTGATACAAGCCCACGATCGATCACACTGATCACTGACAAGTTACGGATAGATTTCCATGCCAATCTTCAACACAGAGCGGTAACGCGGGCAGACAGGGGGGTTGGTCCCCTTCCGCCGCCCATTGATGGCAACAACTGCCTTTTGGGCAAGAGCGCGGTCCTCGGTGTTTTTTCGTGAGCTGATCCTCGCGGACCGCCCGCTCGATTTGTCCTCCTCCTCGACGGTGCTTGACTCGAGGCGACCACGCCCCCCCCCCTTCGCATAATACTTGGCGGAGGACGCCGATGTGTTGTTGCTCGCTCCAGCTGCCCCGTGTGTGCAGGGGGCAGCGGTCAAAGTCCCCCCCTCCCAAAGAGAATGATGCTCGATTTCCCATCTTTCTCGACTCCTTCGTTTTGGCTTGGCGCTGCGCATCACGAGGGGTTCGATGACGGCCGGCCAAGAAACAAGAAATAAAATCATGCATCAGCTTGTGACGGCCAGAATGCCCACTTGTGAAACATTGCCTGGTGCCCACAATGTTCGACGGTGTTTGACGGATCTCGCTGGTGTGGGTGGCCACACGGTCTTCTCTCTCGTACCGCCTTCATCGTGGGATCCGAGACGGCGAGGCGCTCTCAATGGTGACGCCCTGTGTGAGGCTTTCTTGTGCATTAAGGATCCGTCCAGCCTCGACGGCCGCTCCCCGGTCTTTCGCACATCATCCAAGTCTCTGACGGCATCTTACATGGCCCCTTGAGTCGTGCTTTCAAAACGAGGCGCCCCATGATCCTTGCCATTGATCCGCGGATCCCCACAGCGCTGGTGCGCCTTGCTGCAAAAGAAAGACGAGGCGTTTAGGTTTTCTCAAATACCGACGGGCCAATCATGCAAGCGGGACGATTGAAGATGGAAATAGACGGGGGCGGCGTGAATATTCTCGCCGTGGTTGAAAATACAAAGACTTGTCGGTACATCACAGCGCAAGGATGCCAGAGGGGTGAGTAAGCACGAAAAGACGAGCCGTTTCAGGAAGCTCATCACGAGCTATGCCGTGAACTTTCTTTTCTCTTGCTGTCCGTATGTGACAGTGTTGAAGCTCTGTGTAACAGCCCTAGCGGAGTGCGGAATGGACGTTCCGATGAAGAAGAAATCTTGGGCCGCCATGGAAGAAGCTTTCGGCCCATCTTGATACCCCATTTGGGGTTTTCTGGACTCTCATCAAGTACTTTGGAATTGATTAACACAATTCTTTAAGCAATACCGTAATACCTGCCACTTTCTAAAGACTAGAAGTCTGTCCTTGTGCGTTGGGCGGGAGCAGTGCAGCTGGTGGTGGCCAACCCTCATCGGGAACTCTTTGCATTTTTGACGGAGCACAAGTACCGAATTTCACAGATCCCCGTAGAGCCGAGATCTTTGTGCATAGCTGATTAACTTGAGGGCCGGATTACTACGCCTCCAACTCTGCGGATAGCAAATGACTACTGATGCCCGGCGTGAAGAGGTGTAACCTCAGTGCAACGCAAGTTGCCCGGCAAGGTGTAACAGCAATGCATCAAGACGAGGACGATTAGAGTCCAAGTTCCTAGGTTGCTACTCCATGCCATCTTCGTGTCGTATTTTCTTGCGAGGATTCAAGCTCTACCTACTGCCGTCCAACCAATGTAGAAGTCGTCATTGGCACTAATTGCACTCAACCGAGCGTTTACCAAGCTCGCGTCGCTCTGCATATCATGAACCAGATGGGATCCAAAGTCACAGCTGGTTCGCAAGAAACGACTCTTTATGGACATTATTGCCTCACATTTAGGGGCTCCCAACATTTGGTCGCTCTGTATCTATCTGCGGCTGGCGCCGGATGACTGCATTCGTCTCAACACTTTACAACTTCACTGTCGCACAAGATAATCGGTCGGTGACGGAAGCCTCCAGTAAAGGGGATTCAAGTCTCACAGGCACGTGAATGGGAATATGGTCCAAGGCATAAAGAAGGCAATATTTTCATTGTTCCCAGGCAAACTTCAACCCAAACCAGAGTTTCCGGCAATTGTTTGTCAAAGACTCACTCAACTCTTCAGTTAACAACCTCCCAGACTCAGTATATAGTAGCTGGCTGTCATCCAAATTACCCGTTGGATACACTTTGCAACTCCCACCTCATTCTCCTCCCATTGCCCCCACCGGCCTCGCAACGCACCATGGCGGACATACCCATTTCCCAACTCAAGCTCGAGTTGACAGCCGCCGAGAACAGGCGGGCAGAGCTGAAGCAGGAGTTCTTCGGCGTCCACGCTGCGCTGCGCGAGAAGAAGGCGGCCATGGATCGCCTCAAGTGCACCCACGACCCCAGCTCCAACACGAACAAGTACGCACAGAGTCTGCAGCTCGAGGGCGACATTGCCGAGCTCCAGCAAAAGGAAGTCATGGTCACAAATGATATTCACGACACGATGAACAGCATTATGCTTTTGAAGTATCGGATAGAGAGCCGGCAGTAAAGGCGAAGCGTCTTTGAGCCAGGGAACAAGGGCGGTGAAGTCATGTTGGAGACGCCAAGTGGGAGAGACTAATTTCCGGGAGGAAGTGTTTGGTATTTTATGGGATCGAGACACTTGTAGCACGAGATTATCTGCTGTTATTTTGCAGGCAAACAAGAGAAAATTACATCCTGGTATACCATAGTATATGCAGCAACATGCGATTGTACCAACATGAGATTGCACCAACCTGAGATTGTACGCAAAGATGCCATTGTGGATGAGTTATACTCGCTAGAATCAGAATGTGTAATAAGACTAACAAAAAAAGGGCAAGTGTAGTGGTGAGGTAGTGAGATTCAGAAGAGTCATCGCCGTCTGTCGACTCGAGGGGCGTCTAGTTGGTGAAGACTCATGGTAGCACTATGTCCAGAAAGTTTCCGTCTAAGCGCGACGAGGGAGTTTTTTTCACAAGACTACTTATCAAAGTATAGAACATAGACCTTCCAGGCGACGTATGTATATGTTGTCGTGTCAGTGTCCAACGTGGCCTGTATTAGTGGTATCTTCAGTACCATGACAACACACCCGCAACTGGCCTTCGGCGCCTGACAGAGCTGTGTGCATCCATCAGGACGACATCTAACGGGCATACAACGAGCAGTCACCAAACTCGCCATTTCGCAAGGCAGAGTTCTTTCTGGAAAAGGCACGGGCCGCAGCCGCCGGAGCTTGGCTGCCGTAGCTTCGCCGGCCCCAGCTGCAGAGCGAACGAGAGCACATGCTGATCCGCGCTCTCTTTGGCAGCAACTGGATCGAGCATGCCGGGCTTGACTTCCAGGCCATCAAGGACCTCTGCCAGCGGATTCTGCGGGACGACGGCGATGACGACGCCGATCCCGAGCGCGCAGACGGCCTCGTCCACGCCAGTCCGGGCCAGCCCCTCTGCTCCCCGACACGGAGTCAGCAAGAAGTCATCACAGGCGGGCCTACCTTTACCTTCTTCAAGTTCGCCATTGACGGCGCGCCGCTCCGGCGTACGCACCGGAGGTTGAAGTATTTATTTATTTTATTTATTTTATTTATTTATTTATTACTTTTTAACGCCGGCGGAATCCCGGAAAAGGGCAAACGGCGCCTGCGGGGGCCTATCAAATCTGGTTTTTACAAATATTTCTGATTAAAATCCATCCAAATTATGGGGCTTTCGCTGGTTGGTCGTGGAGTTGAAAAAAGTAAAACGTAATGAAGGAAGCTGAGTGGGAAGCAAGTTTGAACCTGGATAGGAGGCATGGCATGGGCATAGGGTAGTGTATACTATGAGAGTCGGTATATGGTCAATATCCAGAGAGACAGTACATAGATAACAACGAGGCTATCTTCATTTTTACCTACTTATATGGCTCATGACTTTGGTTCACAATAGGCTTCTCCTATATCACATCACTCTGGCCTCCTTATCTCTACCGTCTCTATCATATACACTCTTCTTATATTAATTACCATTCTTTTATGTAAGTTCTCTCCCTCGTAGTATTCTTATCCTTGTTCCTGATATCATGCTTTTGTCCAGTTGGTGTTTACACATATGCGTTCCTCTTATAGGTTAGGACAGTGTAAGCGGCAACTCGCGCAAGGTAGCGGCGTGGGTACATAGCTTGATTAGTGCTCGGCCACAGTGGCCTAGCGGACGGGCTAGCCCGTGACTGCCAGTGCAACGTGCGTGGTGCGACTCCTTCCATGTGGGCGAGCATTTCTCAATCAATTTCGTAAAGAATACTGCCATTTGTGCCATCCTTTGCAATGCCGGGGCCCAACAACATGCAAGAGCACACACAGCCCTCTGCCGCGCGCGTGTAGGAGGAGGCTCTGCCCGAGAGCCAATCGCGTCAGAACCAGGCGGGCGAGGCCGCCTGTTTTCAGCGGGCCTTTCGGGGGCTCCCAGCGGGTACCAGGGAGTTTTTGGGGCGCTACGGACGCTAAAATAGCATCTTTTTCCAGCAGCCTCGGCGCTAAAAAAGACATCACATCACCTTTTCGGCTTGGCCCCCCCATGCTAGTTCACTTATTCCCTTACTCGAGGTGAGAAGTTCTGACCGAGCCCATTTGTTCCAAGCCCAACTAAAAAACCAACAATGGGCCGCCACCACCACCACCACCATTTCGTCGCCTGTCTTGCTTGCCGGCGCTAGTGCAGCTGCTTGGTGTCCCTGGTCTTTGCTGCTGTGTGTGTGCTGGTGATCAAAAAGCCCTCTTTTTATCCCTCTCCTTTGCCGCTTGCCGCCGCCGCCGCCGCCGTCCAGCAAAGCCTGTCTCGAATCTCTCTCTCCCCCCCCCCATCACCGAACCCCACGCCAGGAATCATGCTCCTCGACGTCGACATCGCCGTCGCTCCCTCGAGGTCATGAACGCCACCGCGCTGTCACACCGAATCAAGTCCCGCCAGCTCCCTCGTCCGATACCTCGATTGTGCTCCGTCGGCCTGGATGCGCTCGCGTTCCCCCTCCCGCGCCGACCGCCGCCCGCTTGCCGCCCCGTCCTTCCCCCCCCTCGCGGGATTGCGCCGCTCCCGTCGAGCTGTAGCACGCTGGCGTCGCATCACATCGCCAGATAGCCCGGGCATTCGCAACGTCTAGAGAACAGCCACCCCGTCTGGCCGCTCTCCCTGTCCTTGACTCGCACCCACCCAGCTACGACCGAACAAGCGACGAACCCCTCTCCCCCCTCCTCCCTCCCCCGCCTCACCGGCCCGTTTGGAGAGCCTGGGGCGCCCCTGCGCGCCCGGCCCGCTCGCGCCCGGCATGACGACCAACGCCGTGCCAGATACGCAATTGGGTCTGACGGCTGAGGAGATCCAGCTCCTGCGGCAAGGCCAGGCCGCCCTCGGCGCCGGCGCCGGCGGCTCTAGCTCCTCCCGCGCTGCCAGTAGGGCTAGCAGCCAGGGACTTCTGCTGCTCGACAGCTCCTCCCTCGCCGCCCTCGGCCGCTACTTTGACCGCCTCATGGCCGGCATCGAGCAGAACATCCGCTACCTCAGCGAGCAGGCCCAGCTCTTCACCCAGGTCCAGTACGACCGCGCCGGCAACATTGTCGACGGCGCCGACGCCGAGATTGCCCGCTACACCGAGATTCTGCGCCAGCTGGACGAACTAGAGATGGACTTTGATCGCATCGCCAATGTTAAGGATATTGTCAAGGGCTATCGCTCACGGGTCGAGGATTTGGAACGAAGTCTAGACTCGAGCGTGTCGTCGAGCCGACATAAGCATTCATCCTCTAGTTCGCACAAGCACGGCTCACGCCATCACAGCTCTTCGCATCGCCATCGACCTTGATAGCCGCGACATTGCACATACTCTCATACGTTGCGGCCGAACCGTATTTCGGTCCGCAGTTCGACATCAAGTCGACAACACAAATCCGCACCATGGGCGCAGATTCATCCCTTCGCATGCCTCATGGGTCCCTATTTCCATCAAAACCCCGCTCCTCAAAGCTACGGCCAGGTCAGCGCTGGCCGATGCTCGTCTTTGACGAATGCGCGGCACACTCGACAGACTTAAAGAGCTGTTGCGGATGCTCATTTCAGCCAGAGACAGGGACAGCAAATGAAAGACGACGATTCAGGCCTCACGGCCTTGCAAGACCAAGGCCTCGCGGCCCTTTGCCTGTTTTTATTTGACCTGCTACTATTTTATCATTTTCTTGCTTCATTCTCGCACTGTACATGTCGGACTCTGTTTGAACTGATGTCCATTTTTTTTGCTTTTTTTTTGGTTGTATTTCCTATGACGGACGGGTGGCTCAGGAGAGCCAGTATGGAAACAATGTACTTGTGGAAACGAGGTAAACTGGTGTGGTGATTTGACCTGGGCGGATATTGTACGAGTTTATACCCCTCTTTGTTCTTTGCTTCTACATCACACTGCAGGCGCGCATAATAGCCTCGTTTTGGTCGGTTTTGGTAGCAGTCGGCAGTGTCTTTCCGTTATGCAACTGCCGGTACTATTTCCTCTCTTGCCCTCCTTGTCGGTATTGAATCCGGAGGAGATGGGCTAAAGATTGTATTTACGTCGAGTCAAATATCTCGGACTAGAGAGCGAATACCATGATGATTGCCTATGCCGCGCAGGCTGCTATTAAAGACAAATTATTTCATTCATTGCAACATGTGCCAGATTTGTATAAACAATACATGTCTTTGTCATCCGTTTGAACTTTGACAAAAACACGTCCAATTCAGTGCATTTAGTCCTCGACACACCGGCCTTGCGCTCCGTCACACAGACTCCCACCAAGCACGTCCTCTCAAAGCTGGCCGTTGGCCTTTAAGCTCTTGGCACTCGCGACGAGGGCCTCGGCGGCGCTGCGCGGGCGCCAGCCCAACTCCTCACGGGCCTTTGCATTGGACACGGGCCGGACGACGCCAATCTCGGGGAGGACGACGGCGATGCTCTTGTCGAAGAAGCTCGCGAGGCGCATGAGGATCTTGGGCGCGGGCAGGCTGGGCAGGCGGCGCGTGTCCTCGGCGGGCAGGCCGCTGCGCAGGTCGGCGGCCATCTGCCGGATGGAGACGGACGGCTCGTCCGAGACGGCAATGTAGCGCTGGCCGGCGGCGCGCGGCGCCTCGAGCGCGAGCACGTGCAGGTCGGCGACGTCGCGCACGTCGACGATGCCAAAGTGGATGTCGGGGATCGCCGGCATCGCGCCCGACAGCAGGCGGCGGGGGATCTCGAGGCTCGTGTTGACGGCGGTGCCGAGCGACGGCCCGCACACGACGACGGGGTTCACCGTGACGAGCTCGACGCCGGCGTCCTTGCCCTCGCCGGCGAGCCAGTCCCACGCCGCGCGCTCGGCGAGCGTCTTGCTCTTGGGGTACGCGCCGACAAACGACTGCGGGTGCTGC